CTGATAGAAAGCGCTTCACTGCAGTGAGGCTAATATGCATATTGCCCATTATTAGAGATCTGAAAGATCTGGAGTGCACATTATAAGTGTCTGATGTGATGATTCAGTGCTCCCCAAAGATTCTACACAATTTAATTAGAATGAACCCATATCCCTTGCACAAAAACCCACACTTAACTCCCTTAACCAAAGGTGTGATAGCACACCTTCTATAATGAAAGGTTTAATGTAATAGACAGATGTTGTTAGTCATATACGGTATTGCATGTTTTGTGACTTGGGTTTGTGGCCATATGCCCACATGTTGGCTTAAAGGGTAATTTCACACATTATTCTGTGTATTTCAGTGGTTAAGATGCAAAGTCTTTCAGAGTGGTTTGATATGACAGGGTGCATTGTAGAGAAACACAAATTTCTTTACAGTGGTGCTGATAGGAACCAGGGGTCACAGTGTCTACAATGCAAAAGTAGCCATTTTATTTACTATCTAAGACCACCAGTAAACCCACACATTTACATGTAATGTTAATGTGTTAACGATGGTAAAATAGTGGTATATATGGAAACAACAAGGTTTCTTTGTGTACTGTTTTGCCTTGCAACACCCTGCATGTACCTTTTTGCAGAGAATGTATTAAAAAGTGTTTTAGGCTGAAACCTTATTTTAAAACTATAGTAAAACAATGCCTGAGGCATCAGGCCCACCCCTGCAGCATATCCCATACACATCCCAGCATAATCAGGGATGTGCATGGATACTTGAGTGCTCAGTTAAGCGTTCGAGGGAACAGTATTTGAATATGAAATCACCATTTGGGTATTTGTTACATTTTATCACAGGAAGACAGAGAAAATATACAGACCAACAATTCAGTGGAATGCTGCATTTATGTTTTAACAGGACAGTAAAGCCTGAATATTTTGCTCATATTTGTGAGTAAGCAAGTGATATTATACAGGGTGATTCAAAAAGATTAATCCGATTTCAAAGCACCATATTTTTACAACCGTGAGGTGCCGAGGAACCAATCACAATCCACTTGAAAGAGGGGCTCATAGAGTTTCTGACTGTCAGTGGAAGATGGCTCCCTTCAGTCTGAGAGGAGATGAGACCCCTGAGCAGAAAGCGTTCTGCGTTCTCCACTTCAATAAGAGTGAATCCGTCATAACTGTGCAGTGTGATTTTCATGGGCAGTGAAGCTCCAACAGCTCAGAGCGTTCGTCGTTGGTTCCACAACACTGGATGATCTCCGAAATCGCACTGAAAGAGCCGTGAGTGCAGCGACACCCGACATGCTCAATCCAGTATGGGATGAGTTTGACTATGGCGTTGATGTTGTCTGTACAGCTGGAGGAGGTTCATACTGAGACCTTCTACAATTACATAATAAACTTTATGCTCATTTAAACCATTTACAGTTTACTGCATTGATCTGTAATGATTTACAAGGGAAATAAATCATTTTGAGATCGGATGAATCTTTTGGAATCACTGTGTATTTTGCTACAAATGTGAGTGCTTTAAAATGGTTGTGCTTTAACATGGGCATGTGTGGGATGAAATACCTGATTCATATTTTCTAAAAGAGGCTCTTTATCTCTGTCAGAGCAACAGATATTCTGCATTGCTTCTGAAAGCTGTTTTTGAAAAACCAACACAAATTTTACATGGCAGTCCAATATAAGCTGTTTGGTGGTGAGATAAGCTTCTGCGTGGTCGATTCCATCATGTAATGAAATTTGATATTACAGATCACTAACAGTCCAGTCACCAGCCTGTCAGATAGGAAGACATATCAGCTCATCATATGTAAAACAGCAATAACAACGTGCACAATGTCAGCGTTTTCAAATATATGTGTTTATCAGTCCACATTCAAATACTGAAAATGGAGTTTTAAAACACATCAGCGACCTAAAGCTCTGTGAGGTCAGCTAGAACTTTTAGAATAGGGTGGCCAGGTAAGATCCAGAGCTTTTATTGTGGCGGCACAGTGCTAAGACAAATAACATTGCATTACTCTATTAAAATGAAAGAAACATCTGACACAAACAGGCCATAGAAGTTATTCATTTAGGCTGCATTCAGTAGAAGTTATACAGGAGTCTAATGATCAGAAAGCCAGTCAGACAGCACTGTATAATGTAACCTACAACACAGGCATGTATTCAGCTATAAAAATAATCGGTCAGCATGATAGATGATTATATCTGAATAATGTTTGATAGTTAAGTTATCTTACCATTGAATATTCTACTTCACAGTGTAGCTCACAGAGCAGCAGTGCTAAAAGGACCCATTGCGCATGACTCACCTGTTCCCTGAGCAAAATAGCCTATCATAGCAAGATAAGCTAATTATTAAATGCAGCATCATCATACTCTTATGATTGATTGGTAACTACCCCAATGGCAGATTTACACCATAAAGCGTAATTTAAGCTTTATTGATTATAGCTGACTGATGATGGTTGTCTGTCTCGCTTTCCATAATTGATGTGGTCAGATGGGCCATGCTTCATAATAGGGTGGCACTGGCCACCCTTGGCCACCCCTTGGCTACACCTCTGGCCAAAAGCCGGAGAAGAACTGGATAACATGTCTCTTACTCAGCCCTGAAGGTCATGCTGCCCACTGAGCTCAGTTTCACAGCTCACACAGGAAACCAGTATTTTAGACGATGTTAATGTAAGTTGTTTCATAGTTTTAGTTTGTTTTGGTTTGTGTGCAACGCTGTAATATTACTTAATCAGCTTCACTATCTCTGGTTCCCGCTTTCACTCACGTGAAATATAAGAGACGCCAAGCCAACTAATCAATAACGTGATTCATCGCCACAATTTTTTATCGATGTCAGCAATAACAGGGATTAGTTGTTGCAGCCCTAGTGAATTTTTATTCCTTTCATTTATTTTATTAGTATTCTTTTTATTTATTTTATTCTTGTTATTTTTTTTATTGTCCATTTATTGTCCTACATCTCCTATTTGTTTAAATTTCATTAATTTATGTTTTTATTTATTTATCCTTATCTGATCTGTTACTATACTGTAATTGTAAGAGTTTACTGATTTAACGATGTATTGGTACCTTCTTATTATTAAAGTTTACATTTATAGTTTTTGTTACTTAATTATAACATTTGATTCTTTTTTACTACCCAACTTCTCAATCCCTAAATATGTATTGCTTTTATCACCAAATAGGCTAAACTGATGTTAAATATATACGTTTAAATATATTTTTCTGACAAACTAAGAGGTTGGAAATTCATGCAATCAAGATGAAAGACCACCTGTAGAAGACGATGAGTCTCCATCATCATCCAGTGTTACTGGTTAGCAGTAGGTTTAGCTCATTATCTCATCTGAGGGAGCTTCCATTATGTTACTCATCCAATACAAACATTTATTAAGTTTTCTCTGCTATTTTTGAATAATAAAACATGTTTTGTAATGTATTTTCCTGAATGATACAACATTTCTGTGCAACACCAGTGCTGTCACCTAAAAAGGAGAGCACAGCTCTACATTAATATCAGCCAAAATATGTTTTTTTAATGCATCCTCATCTGGATATCTGTTTATTTACTCTTATGGATACTCAAGTATTAAAATTACTCAGAATGTGCATCACTATTCATAACAACTACACATAACAGCTTTCTGTGAGAGAGCTTTTAGGAGCACTGACCACTCTGGACACCTGGTTCCTATCATGATGTTTCCCATCACCACTGTGACCCATTCTAACATGGTTAAAGTTTCTTTAGAAAGATGCACTTCACAACAAACCACCCTGAATTACTTTGTTTATATCTTTATAAACACATTTAATGATTCATAGTTTTCTTGAAAAATTCTAATTTAATGTAAATTCCCCTTTAAATCTCTGTTTAACACACAACACATTGTTCTTGTTGTTGTCTAATTTTGCCTTCACTTAGTGAAACCTATAATATGGGCTCATCATCAACAACATAAAACACACAACATAGTTGAATAGTCATAAAAAGTAGAAAAGACTGTTTTTTGTTTTTTTTTTATCCTGGGTACATAATAGTGAATCATTACATTATGAATGGTCATAAAATATAAACCCCACTGCATGTGATGTGGCTCATAAGCATAAGAAATAGCCTCTAGTTTCGGGGAGATTGTACTTCTAATCATAAATATCATACATTGTACTTTGAGGGATGTTCTAATAATAAAACATCCTGAGGCATTAGTATGAACAATAGTATATACAAGTAAAAGAATGTACAAAACACAAAAGAACATCTGCAGAGAAACAGAAGAAAATAAGTTTACCTACATTATGTACAGCACAAACAAGAAAGATATCTGCAGAGATAAGGTATAAAAGTAGGCACAGAATGTAATACATGTCAAACGTCATGTTGTATGAATTTCTGGTTCTTTTAGCAAAAATCTTCTTTTAAATCCAGTCACACCATTTTAAAGAGTGAAAGTGCATTCGTTTGAATGGAGTTTGTGGCAGCGTGCAGTTTGGAGGATGCTCAATGTGTTCTTACCCAGTTAAAAGCCCTGAATCGCATTGCATATGTAGCACATGTTCACATATCCCTACCGTTTAGCATCTTTATGAGAGTGAAAAGATTTTAGTGTTCATGTGTGGCTGCTGAAATATCAGTATACAGGGTGTCCCAAAAAAATTGACATCATTTCGTGGTCTAATAACAGCCAATTCTCCCTCAAATTATCTCAAATTTTAACAAAATGTGTAAAAACTAACCAGGTTTAATTTTTAATGTTTTTCAGGTTGAAGAACGGTGTTCACTAGAAATGAAGAGGCATTTTGTGTGTTAGAATATGCTCAAACACAGTCAAACGAGAGTGTGCAGCAGCATTTTAGAGAAAATTCAATAAAAATGCACCAACTGGACAGCAGATCTGGACATGGCACAAAAAACTCAAAGAGGACGGCTGTCTGTGCAGGACAGAGGGATCTGGATGACCACCAGTACCGGAAGATATTACATTAGTGAAGCTGTGAAATTGGTTATAAAATCTACATCCCTCTGAATTTCTTGTTCAAATTTTGATAAATAAATCTTGTATTGTTCAACATGAAGCCTGTTTAATTTAGTTTGCCTACGACATGTAGTTACTCAGATATTCACATCTCAAATGATGTCAATTATTTTGGGACACCCTGTATAATAACAACCCATTTACAATACAAATATCAGCGGCCACCACAACTTTTTTAATGATGCCTCCAACTTGGAAATCATGGCTTATAGAAAAATCGGAATTTCATATTAGTTTCCCTGCTACAAAAACCAGCAAAACCAGCATAAGTTGTGTTTTGGATGCTGGTATGCTGGTCAACCAGCATGACCATGATGGGTGACTAGCTAAACCAGCACCAGACCAGCACTAGACCAACGTAAACCAGCTTAGACTAGGAATTAATTCTGGTCTGTGCTGTTTTTTCAGCAAGGAATTACAACATTGTGGTGCCATTCGTGTTGAAATCACTATATTTCTGACAGAACTTGAAGGCAGCTTTCCTGTAGCAGCACAGCAAAATGGAGGAGATGCTAATTTTAGCGGTGTCTAAGCTCAAGTCTTTAAACATTTCTTCCACACTGGCTATGAATAAACTCATAAACAGACTGCATGATATACAGTCAGCCAGGAGACTGTATTAGACTATATTTGTATACACCAAACTACATTTGTATACACAAAAGTATACAATATCTGTACTTTTGTGTTATTTAATGGTGATTTAGCTACCTTGGTAACTGCTAGCTCCTTGGTAAAGTGCTTCTGCTTAGCAATTGCCACCAACTGTGCTAGTTGATTATACTTTTTTGCTACAACTTGGTGTGTAACACTATGCAAGTGTATAATTACCAGGTAAAATTGTGCTTATTTGTGTTTATACTGTTTATGTTTGGCAAATTAGCCAGTTTGCAACTGCTAGATTAGCTGCTTGGCTAAGCACTGCTGCACATCAGTCACTTCAGTCAACCGAGGACATTATTTACACTTTTTGCCACAATTTGGTGTGCAACACTATGTATATCAACATCTGGAATGACTATGTTTTGCTCTGTATGGTTGGTAAGCTAGCCAGCTGCTTCTGTCGCTAATCTTCCAGTCTAGCCTTGGGCGTACCTATCGTGACTGAGGCTTCAAACAACGTCACTTGGTGTGGGCGCTCCTGGAATGTTCTGCTTTCTAGGAAAACACTGACCTCAGTCTGACCCAGACTTAGTTTAATTGAGGCCAAAACGCAGTCAAGTCCACTCCTGCTAGGATTAATTACTTGGTCAGCGAGGGTCAGAGAAAAGAGCCCTGCTCCAACGGCTATTTGTGTAAGCTACGTGGGGAAGAATATCTTGTCTCTGGTAAGACTAGAGTCCAGTTTAATTCTCCAGATGCTTTCGCAAGGATGAACCTTGCCCACTCTGTTCTGACCTCTTCAATTGGATTCTCCTTCGTCAGCTGGTGGCGTCAGTGTCAGTTTCTATCGAACGCGCGGTTAAACTGAAAGACGTTGTGCTCTGAGATTAATAGAAGAATCAGAAATAATGGTTTTGTTCCATTGTGTCAACATCAAAGGGAACCTTTTGGCTCCTGGAAGCCGTACCTCATTATGACTTACTGAGAGGACTTGCGCCTGCCCACGCAAAGCAGCGTGTAACCGAAAATTGTGCTGTCATGACATCAACTCTGTGACTGACCACAGCCAATTTATCTCCCTTTCATCAGCAAAACCCACTGTGTTCTGGAAAAAACGGGACCTAATCTGTCCAGTTTTGGAACGCTAAAGCACAGAGCGTGTGCAGACAGACTGTCCTTCACTCTTAAAAATAAGGTGCCAAAAGGCTTCAACTTACAACAATACACAGTCATTTTGAGGGACAATCCACTTTTGGTTCCTTAAAGAGCCTTTCAGTGGATGGTTCTTTAAAGCAGTTCCCAACCTTTATAAGAGCGTGACCAATGCCCAGCAACAGTTTTAATGGACTGATAGGGGGTGTGGGGTGGGGGGATTGGAGTGGTGGTGTGTAGCGGTGTTGACAACAATACACACATGATTGGCCTATTCAAGCCCACAGAACAATCATGCACCACTAAACTCAGCCAGCTGCTGCAACTTGATGCACATAGAAGTCTGTCTGCATTTTAGAAATGCACCATATGTTAAAAAGGATAAATCAAGATACATTTACTAAATTAGTAGATATTGGCCATAAATGTGGCTCTCCTGCTGAAAGATCTACCTTCAGACAGATATTTTGCCTCATATTAATATTTTTCCTGCCACATGGAAGCACTATCATCAGTTTTTATTCAATTATGCTTTTTTGTCTTGGTATAGTTTTTATTCTTGTCTTCAGTGGAGTTTTTCTGTTTGTAGCCTAAATAAAACATCTTTTTAACGTTGTCAGCTTATTAGTTTGGCTTGACAAAGCCAACACACTGTTCTTTGTTAAGTTCTTCTTTTTGTTAATCTATATTTTTTGTACTATGTTAATAAGCCACAATTTTCAAGCTACTGTTCTTATTCTGTGCTTTCTTTTGCACCATTTTCACAGGCCACAGCTTTCAAGCCACAGCCATGAAACTTCGCTCAACTGTAAAGCCTATCTGGGAATAGTATGCTTGAGCTTTTGGTCCCGTATACGAATTTTATGTTTTGTCCGTTCACATTATTTTTTTCCCCACAGCAAATAAAGTGCCAGAATGTTGAGTTCAAATCTAACTGGCACAAACAATGTCACAAAGGATCATCTCTCACACTGACACTCCTAGCACAGCAATGGCCAAGCAACATCTGAACAACTAATTGGTATATCAGAGCAACAGCTTAGCAACACCTTAGCAACCACCTGGACTGGTATCAAACGCTCCACAGCCTGGTACCAATCTGTGGCCTGATACCTCAACCTAATCTCTATATGCCACATAGGTAGAGTACCGTCACTTACAATGGGCAATACTTTTGATGCTTATTCCTGTACTGAGTAAAGGAGTAGAAACATGGTCAACTCAAAAATCTGCCCACTGACGTCTATTATTTACTAAGTACTTGGATGTGTGGGTGGTGAGCGACATTACGCTATAGAGATTCAGATCAAGCTCAAAAATGCTGTAGCGTTCCTCTAAACTACCACCCACTCTTTTGCAGGAAATCCAAAGGCAGCTCCTCTACGGCATCACTAAAAAAACCCTTTCACATCTTTATTTTTAACAGTGTAGTTTTTCACTGCGGGTGAAGTTACTACATGGACGCTTCACACCCACGTTGTAAAGAACTTACACATAAACAGACCCCAGTCGCAGTCATCTTATAATACAAGCAAGCTGACATTCACTCCAACACCTTAAATAGTCCAAAAGTGCCAAAGAGGGAATTTCTCTCAGGCTGTCATTGTGGTGTGTCCGTTCACCTCCGTGGACAGCTTTCGCTTATGGCCCGCGTATTCACCGATGAATGACCCGTCTTCGTTGAACTCGGAGTCTTCGTCCTCATAGTCGACCGAGCTGTCCACACTGCTGTCGTCCCCGCTGACATCTCCTTCTAGCAATCGCTTGCTTCTCTTAAGAGGCTTCTCGTCACTGTCGCTGTCAAAAAACAAAGCGAAAAATGACTCACCTCGCCTCAAGGCGGTCCAGGGGAAAGGGCTTATGACTAAGGGAGGATTCTAAACAATGCAAGAAACAAGGGAAAGGGAGGGAGCAGGGTGGAATCATGGCTTTTCGCTAATTGCTAATTGCAAATTGTAGACTGCATATCGCGAAAGCTTCAAGGGGCAATTGCAATTTAAGGTGTCCTCAGAGACAGAGTGTGGGGGGAAATTGCGGAGGGCTGAGGTAATGCTAGCCAATGAGAGGGGCTGAGTGGGGAGGCAGTGTGTGTGTGAGTGTGTGTGCCTGTAGACAAACAGCCTGTCAGGCTACTTTAGTCCCCCAGGAGCGCACAGGAACAAACCAAGATTAGATGCCAATTTGTGAACAGGCACACAGCCAGCTAGCAGGTGTCTCTTAGAAGACAGAGGGTCACCTCGACGCCCCGCCATTTCCACGAAACGCCATTAAGGACTGGATACAAATGAAAACCAGCCAAAAGGAGTCTTTAATAAGACGGCTCTGAGGTCGCTTTGTTCTTAATTACACACTTTGTGGCCGTCATAGCAAAATCATACCTTCTCTTTAAAATGCAACATTATAGGAGAAGTAAAAATGCTCTTAATGTGTATTTGAATTGAGTATTTAATAATACTGAATGAAGATTTTACTCCAAGCAGGGGTGTAAAGACGCATATTTTTAGGTTTTATGTGATTTTTGATATTTGACGGAGCTCTAAATGTGCCGGCAAGCAAAAAGAACAATCATACATTGATGTTCAGCCACTGTTTTGATGTGTTTATTCTGTCTGTTATATCAAATAATATCAAATAATGGATATTCCAAAAAGACAAGCACTGAGGAAGAACTCCACTGATTTTTCAAACTGCCTGCATAATTAAATGACTGAGATGTAAACAGTCATTCAGAGTGTTTTGAAGTGAATTGGTTCACTGTAAAGAAACTTGCTGGCTCAGATGTCTTTACAGTGGTGGTGATAGGAACCGGGGGTCACCATGACTACAACACAAATTCCACCATTTTATTTATGATCCGAGAACCACCAGTGAACTTGCATGTGTTTTCTGAGTTTTTATGTAAAATATTGATAATGGTACTTAAAAATGGCACTTTAAAAAGGTCTTCAAGGGTTCTTTAGTAAAGGCAATGGTTCTATTTAAAGCCATTTCATGTTTAAATGGTTCTTTGCATGGTGAAAATGGTCCTTCAGATTGATGGAGTATGTGTTATACATGGTTCCATTTAGAACCTTTTTGAAAATGGTTCTATATAGTACCAGAAAGCATTCTTCTATGGTTACGATGTCAAGCTTATGACAATAGAAGAACCCTTTTTGGTGCTATATAGAACCAAATGGGGTTCTGATGCTATGTAGCACCAAAAAGGGTTCTTCTATGGTTATGATGTCAAGCTTGTGACAGTAGAAGAACCCTTTTTGGTGCTATATAGAACCAAATGGGGGTCTGATGCTGTGTAGCACCAAAAAGGGTTCTTCTATGGTTATGATGTCAAGCTTGTGACAACAGAAGAACCCTTTTTGGTGCTATATAGAACCATTTTCAAATAGGTTCTACACAGAACCATGGACAACACATTCTCATAAATTTTTAAGTTTATACAATAGTGGCAAATATGAAAAATTACTTTTCTTTGGGGACTATTTTGCTGTGCATGTACCTCTGCTATGAATGGATTTCCATACAAAATGTGTTTTAGGCTGAAAGCTCATTGCAAAACAATGTCTTAGACAACAGGCAGCACATTCAAACTATTTAATCTAATAACATTCTGTGAGGGAACTTTTAAAGCTGTTAAACTCTTCAGACATGCGGCTCCCTTCACCACCACTGTGAACAATTATGACTCACTTTCTCTAGAATGGAGCTATTTAACATCAAATCAACAAGAATGATTTAGTTTAGTTAATCTGAGTGACTAAATTGGGTAAAAGTTTGAGAAATTCCACTTAAAGTGAAATTCAGGCCCTTTTTAAAACCCACTGAGATTTTGTGGGGCTGTGTTAGGAAATGTGTGGAGCAGTGAAACCCAAACTGTGAAGAATGTGTGGGAAGTTCCTTTAAATTATTCAAACAAACTTTCGGAAAGTACAGGAAAGCAGAGTGAGCTTGTCTTCAAGATTAGCGAAGCTACAAAACGGCAATAAACACTATAAAATGCCAGCCTCCTGTTTTGTCCTCATTTATAGTTCAGTTGGCATCGCAAAAAACAACGATTTGAGCAATTCTTGTTGACATTGTAGTGTTTAGCAGCTCTTCTAGTCATGAAAGACAACCTCACAGTGCTTTTTAAAGGTTTTTTTTAAAAGAACTGCTTTCCACACAGTCTTTACTGCCTTTCACAGACAGTCTACAGCGGCTGGAATCTCTTCTCCAACGCAGCCCCACAAAATCTGTGTTGAAATTGTATGATATGTTTAAACTAAGCCTGAACTTTCCTTACTGAACTGTGAGGGATCTTGTCATTCGATGTGGCTTCCCTTCTTTGAAGCTACACTATGCAAGATTTGGGGATTTGGAGACCTCTCTGGTGGAACTGTGTAATTTCATGCAAAGTGCAGAAGAACACTGTGTGATATCAATTGTGTTGGGACAGTATATGAAATGATAATAAAGTAATTCGATTTGACCTTTATTACGTTGAAAACAGTACAAAAACAAAATATTTAATGTTCTACCTTATGAACTTACCTGTTTTTTGCAAATATGTGCTCATTCCAAACATGATGCCTGCAACATGTTCCAAAAAAGTCGGGACAGGAGCATGTTTTCACTGCACTACAGGTCAAATAGAATTTACTAACCACTGCTTTCTGTTTTTATCATCATTTCATATACTGCTTTGGACCCCTTCCCAAAGTGGATCAATCTGACGATTACAAAAGTGTTGAAAGAATATTTAAAGAGAACTCAAAGAGAGTTAAAACATCTAAACGTTGGGCCAGACCTTCTTTTTGAGGCTGTGTGCATGACGTTAATATGTAAGATATATGATGTGGTCCTAAAGTCTCTGTAAAATGTCCTGACGTGTCTGACTTATTATTAAAAGGGTGACCCGCAGCAGTGCATTCACACCAGCCCTCTAACAAGATAAGCCCAAAAAGTCGCAACCCCTAGAAATGATAAGCAATTACAAAAAAAAAGACTAGTGATTTGAATGTGGGTATGTGAATAGCATAAGCTCAGTCTCTTGCTGCCCACTTAACTCTGATAGGATGTGCTCAGATTCCTAGTTTTGATCATTGATGGAGCTTTTCTACAAGACAGTAAATGAGAGACTTTTAGAGGAGGCCAGATTTGCTACACTGCTTTGAACATGAATTTTTTCAGTGTTTTGATATTGTATTAAAATGGCTAGATCTTTAAATCCAAGTAAATTTGAACCAAATCTATTGGACCACTTGCCATGAAATGGTCACACAACGTAAAGTGAAACTGACTCGTTCAAATTGTGTGAAAAGAATCCTAAAAAAAGGGTTTATACGTTGATATGAGACCGAAAAAATGCTGTATTACCCAGATAGTAGAATATGTGGGCTGTTCATTGTACCACCATTGTGCTATTGTGTATTTCATCCACGCGTGCATGTGCAGCTGCTAATATTCTTTTCCCTTTCCAGCTTATTATATTATGTACTGAATAAATAATATAGGCCAGCTGGATAAGTGTCTGCTCTTCAACCGCACAGCAATTGGGAAAACAAACTCTACCTCTCCTCTTCTCCCAAAAGCATTGTGAATCAGAAGGGCGTCCTTGTGTGAGCTCGAGTAAATGCACTTTGGAAAGCCGCAGAGGCCGATGCTATGAGGCACATTTGGTGCCGAAGACGTTCCCCCCCTATCTGGTTTCCTCCGCTAGCAGATGTTCAAACGAGCTAGTGGTTAGGAGACTAAAAAGCAGGAGCGCTGCGCTGAGCGGGCCCCGAGCATCCACACCAGCACTGCTCGTTTCCTGAGGGAGGAACAAAATAGGGATCTCTGTGTCTAAGTGTAATGAGATGGAAACATATTACTGATCTGAGCAGCACTGTGTGCAATTATAGGAGCTAACTGCGTGTGCCCCTTCTCGCTGGCTCCGACAGCCTTCCTTCTTGATTTTTAACTGGCTTGGAAAAGAGGAAAAAGAAGGAAAAGTGATTCAACTAGGGGACCCTGGGTACATTTTGCTTGAAGTCTGAACAGAATTCCCCTACAGTGCTGTCATAATGGTGTCTAACAAGTTCAAACTGGTATAAATTCACCACGATTGTTAGCAACTGATGGCAGTTGAATCATCATCTTTGTTATACAGACAGAATGTCTAGCTGGGGGTCTCTGAGTACAAAACAGCGTGTGATAGTAATCTGATTACTTTCTCCTCTTTTGAAGTCGTACAAAGCTTTACAGTTTAAATTCTTATAAATATGCAGTAATATATGAGAGGAAGTGGTAAGTGGTGAGCTGTGGTCGTAAAACCCAGCACACAAGTGCTAATATAACATGGTATAACAGAAACTTGAGAGCATTATTGCGATTGTACCACCAATTCTAGCAGTTTTATTATTAATTTTATTATATTTTGAGGCAATTGTAACATAAAAACAGATTAATAAGAATGTTTATTTATACTATGCGAAGAAAAACAGCTCCAGTCTAGCACTGCTGCATGTAAGGACTATTCAACCGAATTCAGTTCAGTCAGAGATCTTTGAATGACTTGAACTAAAATCCTTTTGGTTGAGTGACCCGATACATTAATTATGTTAATTTCACTAAAAGAAATCATTACACTATCAATCATAACACTATTGAAACTTTACCAAATGTTCGACAGTAACAATTTTAACTAATTTTGAGCATAATTCCAAAACGCTAGCCATGACATGACTAGCAAACGCAGCTTTGTACAGTTGTCCACACATAAAATCACAATATTTTTTGATTAAAACATGAAAAAATGTACTTAATTGCAGAATATTTGTGTTTCACTAGTGACAGGTCTTCATGTTACATTGGTTTTCAGACTTTGACACGTTTACTTCAAAACCATGGTGAGCAGTTAGATCAGTGTGTAACATTGAGAATTGTCACTAGTGAAACAAATTTTACTTAACTGCAGAAAATCTGTTTCATTAGTGACAATTCTTAATGTTACATACTGATTTTCAGACTTTAACTGCCTGTTAAAAGCTGCTCAAAGGAAAGGTGAAGTAACACAGTGGTAAACATGCTCCTGTCCCGACTTTTTTGGAACATGTTGCAGGCATCATGTTTGGAATGAGCATATATTTACAAAAAGTTCATAAGGTAAAATATTAAATATTGAGTTTTTGTACTGTTTTCAATGTAAAACAGGTCAAATAAAATGTACTAACCACTGCTTTCTGTTTTTATTATTATTTCATATACTGTCCCAACTTTTTTGGAATTGGGGTAATGGAATCCCATTACAGTTTGAGAGATGTAATTAATTATTTTGTAATGGTTTAATTTGTATTCATTTAAATTAGTTTGTAAAGGCTTACTTTTTTGACTAACTACTCTAGAGATAATAGAAATGGTTACGAATGGCTTTGATTGATTATGCAGTACTGTACTGAGCTTCAAGCAAAAGTGTTCTACAGCACTACTCTCACTACACAGACGGACTGTAACAGAGTATCTACAGCACACACACACAAACACGTCCATGGATTCGCACGACATGTTGCTCCACTACCTGCGTGAACCGGTTAGTCAGCTCAGAAAGGGCCGTGAGCAACGATCTCTGTGTGGATCCGAATAAACGTCACGCATGTAGGGTTCGAGAGAGAGAGATACAGAGTTATGAACACTGGCTTAAATGAAAGCCTCATGCTAGCGTCAGTGGTGTAACTAGGATCTTATTGGTCCCCGTGCGAAAAAAGTACCTTGAATGAATAAAAAAAAAGAATGACGACTGCACTCTCAGAAATAAAGGTACTAAACTGTCTCTGGGTCAGTGCCCCTCTCGTCACTGGGGTGGGACCCTCAAGGGTTCATCTCAGTACCTTTAGTCAGGGAACATCACTGAACCATAATCCACTGAAATGATATGTTCTAAGCTGTACTGACTCCACACACCCCGTCTCGTCTCCAGGCTTTTATTTTACTGTTCTGTTTTAAAACATTCGGTTATGAAAAGGTACAAAAACTTTTCACCTGGAAAAACTTATTTAAGGCTCACAATCAGACCTTAAACCACTGTTGTACCTTTGAGGGAACATTTACACTGTTTGTACCTTGATGATGAAAAATGTACCTGAACAGAACCTTTATTTCTAACAGTGTGTAATGAAGGCTAATGTTTGTCGTATATTATTACGTTGTCGTACACTGTCAGAAAAAGGGTACTGTGCAGGTGCAATTTTGTTTACCAGGTACAAACAAGGTAAATATACCCTTCAAGGTACAACTGGCATTGTAGTACTCGAGTACAGTCTCATAGTGCCCCGTCTGAGGTGACTGGAAACAAAATTTTTCATTTTTGAACATCAACAACATCTTCAAACTGAATAAAACAGTCCCTTCTCTACATGATTAAATTAAATCTGAAAGGTGCTGGTTGAGGGTCTGGCTGATCCCTTTCATGCGGCTTAACAGGGAATTGTTTGTTGATGTTCATTGGTTCCATAATTCCAATATTCCCTGAGAGCAGACCAGAATGTTATTATTACTGTTTTCTTTTAATAATAAAAATGAATATGTTGTTTGGTTTATATTCAGGTAGCTTTAGGTGGTGATTCTGAATAAGTTTTAGAGAAGAAGAGACAGAAAGTAACTGCACCATCATTTGCTTTCACAAGTTACAACGCAGAGTAGGACTAAGACTATAATATAATAGACTATGTATTATTAAACCTTAGATCTTACAAAAAATCACATAAAATTACAAAATATCTGCCTCCACTACTACAAAGTCTTGGTTTTGGCTCAGACTCACCTCTGGTGGCCTTGACTACAATACACTGTTAGAATAAAGGTTCTGTTCAGGTACATTTCTCGTTTATCAAGGTACAAACAATGTAAATGTTCCCTCAAAGCTCCAACAGTGGTTTTAAGGTCTGATTGTGAACCATAAATAAGTTTTTCCAGGTGAAAAGTTCATATTTGTACCTTTTCATAACCAAATGTTTTAAACAGAACAGTAAAATAAAAGCCTGGAGACGAGACGGGGTGTGTGGAGTCAGTACAGCTTAGAACATATCATTCAGTGGATTATGGTTCAGTTATGTTCCCTGACTAAAGGTACTGAGATGTTCCCTTGAGGGTCCCACCCCAGTGACGAGAGGGGAACTGACCCAGTGACAGTTTAGTACCTTTATTTCTGAGGGTATAACAATAGCCTGACATTTTAAAATAGAAAAATAAAATAAAAATCATGGAATCAAGACATTTGTGGAGCCAAAGCAACTTAAAAATATATAACTGCAATAGAAAATGGTCCAATTATGATCCGTAAGTAAAAGGCCTGAAAACAGACCCTTAGTGACAGTTTAGTACGAGTGTAGCCACCCATTAGAACCCACACTGCTGGCAGTTACACCACTGGTTAGCATCTGTCAACAGTAGTGAGGACTGCTTACCTATATTCACAGGAAGTCTCTTCCTGGACACAATGAGCCTCCAGATCCGTCCGAACGTCTTCCTTTTCTTTCACTGTCGGACAAAGAACCCGAACAATCAATGAAAACTGCTTTCATAAAATGAAACCATCAAACGTTACTCATCTCGTGAAGTGAACTGCTTTTCTTAGCACGTTTTTTTTAGGAGAACCCGGCTCTTAAAAATTTCACCTTGATATCATTTGACGATTGAGAGGCTGGTGTTATTCTTTGATTTATATTCATGCAATGTTACAGAGGAAACGGAGCAGCTGGGCAAAAAGAAATCCAGCAGTTTGAAGCGCAGAATGAAAAGAGGCAGAGGAGATCTCGGAGTGTCCTTTCTGCTTTGCTTTTGTAAGAGCTTCTCAAGGACACTGACTGCCTTGAAGATAAGCTGTGTTTTGTGTACAAACTTTGAAGTAAGCAAAGGCCTGTATTTCCCACTGAAACACCGAGCGGGACTCGGAGAAAAGCAGGCGCTCCTCTCAGCTCAGGATGTGTAAGAGGTCGTACCGCTGACAGCACCAGAGGCAGAACAAACTTAGAAACTTTCAACAGTTTTACAAACAGATTAGGGGCACTTTTAACCTCAGAGTGTAGAGGGCTGGTGAGGAAAATGCTGTGATGCTGTTTGCATCTGACTATTAGATCCACAAAGCATTATTTTCTATAAAATAATAGTAGTTATGTATGATTATTATGTAGGATTCTGAATTTGGGCATTTTACATACATTGGCCTACTTGTATATCACTGCTGTTGGAACAAAACCTCGTATCTCCAAAATGGTAACTTTACAGGAGGAGGAAAAAACCCACAACACTTTTAATGGAAGTCAATGGAACCAGACTTTTCTCCAAGTAATTTTGAGCTGTTTCTTTTGGTCCATTCATCATGAAATTTACACACAGGCATTTTCAAATTATGTCAAAAACTGAAAAAACAACAAAAATGGAGATACAAGGTTTTGTTCCAATAACAGCGATGTACAGTATTCGAATGCTAATCAAGAAAGAAAAGAAAAAAGAAAAAAAACTACCTTTGCAAACTTCACCCAATTTCAAAAATTACTAAAAAGTCATAGCACGCTTAAAGTTTAAATTCTAGAAGTCTATAAACTGTTTAAATATACTGTATATACATAAACACTACTTTTTAAAACAATGTGAAACCAATTTGTTGAGGATACATGCAGAATATTATTCTATTAAGATGCTTCTACGCTACAGTTTAATAGATTTCAAATAATTAATAAAAAGAAAGAAATGTTAGATGTGACCAGAATGATAAACAGAGCTTTAGATGATTCCATAGTTACTGAAAAAGCTGTAAAACTTTGAGAATGAAGTTATAATGGAGTTAACATTCAGAGTGCCTCATGGTGACTCCTTGGTGTTGCCCAAAAGCTTGAAATATTGAGTAAAACATCCTCTGAGGTCAAGCTTATGGTATTTAAATCTATAGCATTATTAAATGAAACAACACCAGTATTAATATGAGAAGTGATTCCAAACTTTTGAATGCTAGTGTACATGCATTCATAGATATATATGACAAATGTAGGGGAAAATGGGGAGAAACGCAGCCCTTAAAAAGAGCATCCATTTACTGTAAAGCTGAATCATATCTGTGCATGAGTTTAGCATGTATGCATGTTGATGCATAAACCTGCACACAGTTAGAGGAAATAAACTGGGACAGCATTCAAGTTTGTTTTATGGATATAAAAGCACTTGCTTTCATTAAAAAATAAAAAATAAAATAAAAGTGGGGTAAGACACCCCCCTACCTGGGGTAACGCCCCCCCCCCCAAACAAATCTTGTCTAGAAATTTTGGACAACACATAATGAAACTGAATTTGTCTTAATGATTCCACTTAATTTTAATATGTTATAACAAAAGACAGTAAAGCTCAGAGTATTATTATTATTATTACTATTGTTGTTTTTGTTGTTGTGGCCACTTTCATAACAACAACAATTAAACGAAACAACAGTGCTCAACAGACAATATTTACTGGGCAAGTTTGAATGATTCTAGCTAATGATCGATGCAGCTACACCTGCACCTCTCAAAATGTACTGTTCTCTCTAGAACCCTACATAACCATATATATATTAACAATTATTCTAGATACTTTGTATAAATGTATTAAATATGTTCATAAAATAAATATATTTAATCTTATAACTTTGTATAAATACATAGATCATTATTATTCAATGACAAACCTGACCGTAAAAAGCAAGAAGTCCAAGGAACGCAGTGATCCGGATGACATTTCAGAATAAATTAGACATTCGGTAAATGTGTCAAGATTAAATTTGACCCCATCACTTCATCAGGAGTAAAAATAAGGTGGGAGGAAATATTACTCTGGGGGGGCTTCCTTCCCCAAGTTACCTTCCATATTAATGCATACAGTATTCCGCAGGGGCTTCATGGAATATGAATGAAGACTGATCCTTTAACAATTCCAGCCACTGCATTAATCACAGCAAAATAAATACACATGTAAATAACTGTTGAAAGTTTTGTTAAAATAGTACATAATATTTCTTTAACCTTTAAACCTTAAAGCAAGATCCACGTCCTGCAACCTATAAAGCACAGTCGCACTACAAAGCTGCCACACTGTTCACAGTAACCATACAGTGCAATGCTTCCCTATTCATAACACATAATAACTAAGAATGGCATAAAATTGTCAGTAATTGTAATAACAGGCTTACACCGTACAAGTTTTTATGGGTTTACTGCTAAAATAACATCAGTCACAGTGTGATCAAGGCTATTAAAATGAAATTTAGAAAATAGGCTGTATTATTTTGAAGCTTTAGAGATTTAAGGCAGGTAAATAACTGTGAATTGCATGCCTATTTTGCCTTAGCTGGGAGCATTCAGAGCTAATAATATCACGAAGCAGAGCTCTCATCCTCGGCACTTCAAACATTCGAATTACGTCCCCGTGCATATTTTCCTATTTCAAACAGCTCGGGTAAATATGATTAAAAAGTAACGAGCTTCAAATGAGACAAAAGATGAGTTTCATGAAAAGTCACAGATGGGTAGGAAAGAGAAATGCAGAGGTGATGAAATATTCAGCGTTTTGTGTCAACAGCTCCTGCAGGCAGTCAGGCAACTGGGCGGTGTCTGTGTGCGTCAGTTTGTTTTCATACGTTTTCAGCACAATAACGCTCTGACTTTGCAGGGAAATCAGAGGGAATAAAGCACTGCTGTGGGCAGAAAACCTTGTATCTCCAAAATGGTAACTTTACAGGAGAAGGAACAAACCTACTTTACTTTTAATGTAAGTCAATGGAACCAGATGTTTTTCCAAGACATTTTAGATAATTTCTTTTAGTCCATTCATCATGAAATTTACATACAATGTAAAGGACAACAGGCATTTTCAAATTATGACAAAAACTTAAAAACGACAAAAATGGAGATATGAGGTTTTGTTCCGACAACAGCGAAAGGTAATCTACTGTAAAAGGCTTCTATACAAAAACAGAATGTTTCCTTTTGTTAAACTAAAAGGGCAAAACTTTTTTTTTCTTTACAGAGATTAAAGTTAGGATTAGGCTTAGAAAATTACTATTACACTTATAAATACATAACACATGAAGGGAATATTGTGTATAAGTAGATTTAGTTATGTAGGACATGAAATATATTGTTTAAGTAGTTATATACTGTTACTGTCATATCAAAATGTCATATCTCCATTTAAATTATTATTGTAATTGTAGTAATTTTCTAAATAATTTGACATTTTATATTGAGTATGAACAGATCAATAGAACGGGTCCAAAATTACTTTGACAAAAACACTTTACATTAATTAATATTAAAAGCTGAGAATGTTTTGTTCTGGCAGACAACATATCGCTGTTGTGGGCAGAAAACCTCGTATCTCCAAAATGGTAACTTTACAGGAGAAGAAAAAAACATACTCTACTTTTAATGTAAGTCTATGGAACCAGACTTTTTTTTTGGTCCATTCATTATGAAATGAACACACAATGTAAAGGCAACAGTGAAATTCACATAATACAAATTCACAATACATAAAACCACTACTTACTGTATTAATGTTATCTGTATTTATTGTAATATTTCATTGTAATGTTTTTTCAGCTTTTGTATTCTATTATTCTGACATTCTCATGTGCCTAAAACTTCTGCACAGTACTAGTGCTGTATATAATACGGTATAATACATATGGATCATATGTGTTTGTATGCAGCCATTTGGGTGCCTGTGATCAAAATGCATGTCTTGTGTGAAAAGAACACATTTCTGCACATTTTAATGCACAGTTGCTGTTATTTGCTGAATTTAACACACACACACCTTTGCATTTTGACCCATCCGTGAAACACCACATACACACTAGTGAACACACACACTAGGGGGCAGTGAGCACACTTGCCCAGAGCGGTGGGCAGCCCTATCCACAGCACCCGGGGAGCAGTTGGGGGTTAGGTGCCTTGCTCAAGGACACTTCAGTCACAGACTGTCGGCTGTTTTTTTTTTTTAATATATTTTATGATTTATTCATTTCAAATATGTTAAACTCATCATAAAATAGTAATTTTACATTGAATTAAACATAAAAAATGTCATATTTAAGTGAGTTCCCTGTAGAGGATGTGATAATCAACTTATCACTTGGAAAATCTGCAAAATATTAAATGTAGATATATATAATTTTACAGGGGAAGGAAAATACATAGTTTACCTTTAATGTAAGTCACTGTAACGAGACTTTTTTATATCTATTATATATATATATATATATATATATATATATATATATATATATATATATATATATATATATATATACATATATGTATCGCTGCTGTCAGAACAAAACCTTGTAATTCCATTTTTGTTGTTTCTTAGTTTTTGACATGGTTTGAAAATGCCTGTTGTACTTTACATTGTGTGTAAATTTGATGATGAATGGACCAAAAGAAACGGACTAAAATGAAGTGAAAAAAGTCTGGTTCCATTGACTTACATTAAAAGTAAAGTATGAAGTATGTTTTTCTTTCTTTTGTAAAGTTACTAGTTACTATTTGGAGATACGAGGTTTTGATCCGACATATATTATTATTATTATTATTATTATTATTATCGTTATTATTATTATTATTATTATTACTACATAAAATACATATAATACATATGGGACAAAACCCTGTGTATGTGTGGTGTGGTATGTGTACGTGTGCATGAGATGAGAATCAGAAAGCCCAGCAGGAGCCTCAGGCAGGCTGTGCTGGTGACCACAAGAACAAAGCTGAGTGATCTCATTCGGACTGTTTGACACTCCTGGTAACGCGCACAGCGGGTGGAGCACCAGCCAGGGAAAAAGTCACGGAGGCCTTGACGCCGTGACACTGAGAGACGACCAGCATTCACTCACCTCAGCCGCAAACGGCACTGTGATTCGGCCCCCCTGGGAGGCCAAAGTGACCTCTGCAATCAACTTGTCCGTACCTGCATACTTTCCGCCTTTGTTCCTGGTCACGAAGCATGCGATGAGAACCGCCAGGGTGAGCAAGGCCACAGCACACATCATACCCACAAACCAGCCGCTGGATGAAATGCTTTCATACACACCTGCCATACCTGCGAGAACACAAAGCATTAGCTGTCAGCAGTGGTCTTGTGGCTTGAGAGTGCATCTCTCGAGGCTTTGGAATGTTTTGTCAGGCTAATGGATTGACCACTTAAACACCGTGGACCTGCTGGTGGGTCCTGGCTTCAATTCCTCATTTTTATGACTTTGTAAAGACTCGGCCTAAAGCCTAAAAATGTGGACTTACCCCAAAACTCACAAGGCACATATCCTTCATTGCCCTTTTATGTCAATTTTTAGCTCTAAAGTCCACTTTTGCATGTGTTTATGTAGCAAAAGTAGCCCTAATTCAATTTTTCCTTGAATTTTTACAACTTCTCTTTACCCCTTATCATATTACTGCACTTAGGATATGTAAACTATACATGCTCTGATTGGCTACCATGTATTGTGCCTTGCTCGAAAAGCAATTCAGGCTACTTATAAACACTACCTATAAAGTCAGTGTGAATGGGTGGGGCTAAACTGCTGCCGACTGATTAGGCAGGTATACAATGACATGCGAAAGTCTGAATACCTGTAGTGAAAGAATATGTTTTATTCATTTTTTAAGGGATATTAACACATCTTCCACTGTCAACAAACTTAAATATGACATTTTTTTATTTGCTATATTTAAACAGATTGGAAACATATAAAACATGACATATCAAATGTGCCCTCACTTTTTCACATGCCATTTTTTTTCCTCCCAATATGTTACATGCAGTAAATGAAAAACGTGCAGATTAAATGTGCAGAAGTGTGTTCTCTGTAGAGGACGTGTTAACTTATTCTCACTTCACGAATCATGTCATCAAGAAACATGCAACTTGACCAAAACGCGCTGAACGCGTTGATTTATGAACTCAAAATAGGATGTTTTTGCAGATTAGTTTCCGTATATAGACTGAGAGCAGTATGTTTTAACACTTTACCAATATGTGGGCCCTTTAAGGGGGTTACATTTTACATGAACACTGTATTTGGATGGTCCATTCTAGATACACTATAGAGGCTTACTTTAACTTACACCGATCAGGCATAACATTATGACCACCTCCTTGTTTCTATACTCATTGTCCATTTTATCAGCTCCACTTACTATATAGGTGCACTTTGTAGTTCTACAGTTACAGTTGCATACTTTGTTAGCCCCCTTTTACCCTGTTCTTCAGTGGTCAGGACCCCCATGGACCCTCACAGAGCAGGTCCTATTTGGGTGGTGGATCATTCTCAGCACTGCAGTGACGTGGTGGTGTGTGTTAGTGTGTTGTGCTGGTACGAGTAGATCAGACACAGCAGTGCTGCTGGAGTTTTTAAACACTGTGCCCACTCACTGTCCACTCTATTAGACACTCCTACCTTGTCAGTCCACCTTATAGATGTAAAGTCAGAGACGATTGCTCATCTGCTGCTGCACAGTTTGTGTTAGTCATCCTCTAGTCCTTCATCAGTGGTCACAGGACGCTGCCCACAGGACGCTGTTGGCTGGATATTTTTGGTTGGTGGACTATTCTCAGTCCAGCAGTGACACTGAGGTGTTTAAAAACTCCAGCAGCACTGCTGTGTCTGATCCACTCAGACCAGCACAACACACACTAACACACCACCACCACGTCAGTGTTACTGCAGTGCTGAGAATGATCCACCACCCAAATAGTACCTGCTCTGTGAGGGTCCATGGGGGTCCTGACCACTGAAGAACAGGGTAAAAGGGGGCTAACAAAGTATGCAACTGTAACTGTAGAACTACAAAGTGCACCTATATAGTAAGTGGAGCTGATAAAATGGACAATGAGCGTAGAAACAAGGAGGTGGTCATAATGTTATGCCCGATCAGTGTATATTCAAGGAAATATCTCATTCTAACCAAAACCTTAGTTCAAAAGCTAAACATAATCCGACGAGCTTGAATCTAATCTTAATCAAATGCTGAAATTATTAAAAACTAGTAGAAGTTGATTCTCAACTGACTTCCACTAGTTTTTAACAATTTCAGCGTTTGCAGACAAGCTGCAGAGGACCGTCAAAATAAAGCATGACTGGATTTTCTCAGTGCCTCGTGTTCATGCATGCAAACCTAAAATTGGAAGCTAATTTACAGCTATGGCTAAAGCGTCTAGCTCTACCTCCGGTGGTGTTCTTCCAAACAGACTCTCCACCCTCTCACCTTTCCCTCTTGTCTTGAAAACCTCCTCAAAAAGACTAGAGTTATCAGGCCAGTGGGTAGCCAGCAGTCGAACTGTGTACACAGTCTCTGGCTCCAGTCCCTCAATCACATGGAAAGACTTAGACGTGTTTACAGCTTCAGAAATCCTCCAGATACCATCACCTACAGGAGGTCCGCAACCAGAAAGTGTTAGCCCTTCACCAGAAAGCGCAGTGCAGTACCCACTACCGTCATGCTAAGTGATTACACATGCAAAGAAAACTGCAGTACACACTACTGTTCAAAAGTTTGGGATTGTATGTTTAACATCAGATGCACCCAGAATGATCAAAAGAGCTGCAAATGATTGCAATTTGACTGAGGAGCTGTACAGAAATAAAGTTAGAATCAAATTAATACTGAAAATGCCTTGTATTACAAACATGTTGGTCAAATTTTGTGGTAAACAATAATAAAAGTATTTTCTTTGTTATTTAATAGCCTTTTGCTGTTTTCAAAACAATAATTCGTTCCTAACGAATAATAAATTTGTCAGAAATGTTGGATAAAAGTAATTTCTGTTGTCTAGTTTATAATGTTTAAAAACTACATTCCATACATGATCGTGTATGTAACTATATATCGCTGCTGTCGGAAGAAAACTTTGTATCTCCATTTTTGTTGCTTTTCAGTTTTTGCCACAATTTGAAATATCACAATTTTTAATATGAGATACCTGCTGCCCTTTACGTTGTGTGTAAATTTCATAAAGAACGGACCAAAAGAAACGACCCAAAATGACGTGGAAAAAAGTCTGGTTCCATTGACTTACATTAAAAGTAAAGTAGGTTTTTTCCTTCTCCTGTAAAGTTACTATTTTGGAGATACAAGGTTTTGTTCCGACAACAGTGATATATACCAAATATATATATATATATATATATATATATATATATATATATATATATATATATATATATATATATATAAATGCTAACATTTACAGTGGTTTAATTTGAAATGGTTCACAAAATAAAAACGTCTGTATAGTGGCTGTGATAGGAACCAGGGGTGCATTGACTACAACGCAAACATACCCATGCAAATATAACCATTTTATTTACTACCCAAAATGAGCACAGATAGACCCCAGGGGGCATGTGAGCCCCTGCCTTTGCCCTCAAACTGTACAACTGCCCTCTTGGTTGGTCTGTATAATAGTTCTGGCTCCGTCATTCTTCAAGGTCAGTTTCAGTAAGATGAGGCTCAGCCTCACCTCAGGAACAGAGTTCTTGGGTTCTGTGGAATTCAGCGCCCCCTCTGGTGCAGTACCACTGCCTGTGGTTCTCCTCATTAACTCTGTCTGGCATCACCACAACAACGGAGATTCCACCAATAAAACACTGTAATGTTTTTAGGAAAGTGCTACATTCCATACTGTGGTTATTCTGAACAACCACAACACATAGGGTCAGAAATTAGCAATGTTTATAATTTGATACAACAGTTATTAGTATTGTAAAAAACAGGGATTTATAGGAGAATCTGAGAGGCTCTTAAATAGAGCTATAACTGACTGATATCTAGTGAATTAATGGTGTAGTGGGCAGGGCAGTATTTAGATTACAGGTACATCATAAAAACTAGGTGATTATCTGCATGATTACATTAAAATTGCATTAAAGTTGTCGCTTTTTGTCAAAATTCACTGTTTTGAATGATAACTATGTTACATAAATAGTGTAGATTTGAAGATGTTTACTTTGTTTTGAAGAAGGGAGGGTATGAAGAGATATCCTCAACCAATTTCTTCAAGAAATCACAATAATTTTAGAAAGTATTTTATTTTTATTGGCAGATCCAAACTAAAATCTGCACTGTTTTCCCAAAGATATCTTGATTTTTTGATTTTTCCATATCACCAGATTCCAAAGCAGCTGATCTGACAGTAAGATTTTTATTCTCGTCTGCTGCTGTATGAAGTTTGAGTAGCTATGAATCGAACTATTGCTAATATTAAGCTTCCAGATTTTATTGCTGAAGTAAACTAACATTAACTGACAGTTCCAAAATGCAAAGCACAGTATTTACACAGAAAACCTGCATAGGTTTGAGCTTTTAGCTGCCTTTGGAATACTTTTGAGCACTATGTTTAGTTATATCTGATTACACTGTCACTCTTGATAAGAGTGACTGCAATACACAGTAATTTTAATTAAGTTTAAATCATGTTTAAGTTGCCCCTTTCCCCTTTGGGCCCCTGCCCCCCCAAAATGTCTGTGGATGAGCATCAGTGAAGTTAAGTTTAGTTAAGTGACCCTTATTAGTCCCACAATGGGGAAATTTCACCTCTGCATTTTGACCACCACATACACACTAGTAAGCACACACACTAGGGGGCAGTAAGCACACTTGCCCGGAGCGGTGGGTAGCCCTATCCACGGCGCCCAGGGAGCAGTTGGGGGTCAGGTGTCTTGCTCAAGGGCACGTCAGTCACATACTGTCGGCTCAGGGGATCGAACCGGCAACCTTCCGGTCACAAGGCTGGTTCCCTAACCTCCAGTGATTTTGCCTTATGATGCAATGCATGCACCTCTATCATGAATGGCTTTTTAAAAACTTTAGACCAAAACTTTATCTCAAAGGTATCATAAAATAATGTTTCCTGCATATTGCAATGTATTTGATACCATTTAATGTAGTAGCTGTCGGTAAAGTAGCTTTTAGAGACACTAAAAGCAGACCAGACGTCTGGTTCCTATCACCACCACTGCGAACAGTAAGTTTCTCTCGAATGGAGTGTTTTGCATCAAACCACTCTGAATGACTTTTTATTTACATCTTAACAACTTAAATCTGCAGAATTTTGAAAAATTGATCATTTAATTGGACAAGCGATTCAAAACTTTTCAATAGTAGTGTATATGACTCTATTAGTTAAGAGTTACTAGGCTTGGGCCAATATTCAATATTATCACAATCTGTGAGTTCAATCAAATCAAAGATCTTATGTTCTTATGGTGATTTCTTACATTCAAAATGGCACCACTGTAGTAATAACAAACTGGGAGTAGAAATTAATATATGTTAATTCATGATAGATATCATATTATACAACTCCATTTCCAAAAAAGGTTTAATTGCAATGCTGGGCAAATCATTCAAACCGTATATTTCATTGAAAATGCTTCAAAGACAGCATATAAAACGTTGAAACTGAGAAACTTTATCATTTTTTGAAAAATATTTGCCCATTTTGAATCTGATACCAGCAACACGTTCCAAAAAAGTTGGGACGGGGGCAACAAAAGGCTGGTGAAGTTGTGTAATGCTAAAAAAACACCTGGTGGTTAATTGGCAACAGGTCAGTAACATGATCGGGTATAAAAGAGCATCTCAGAGAGGCGGAGTCTCTCAGAAGTAAAGATGAGGAGGGGTTGACCACTCTGTGAAAGACTGCATGATCAAATAGTGCAACAATTCAAGAATAGCTATTTTTGGAACTATTTTGTTGGCATCAAATTCAAAATGGGCATATATTTTTCAAAAAACAATACAATTTCTCAGTTTCAACATTTGATTTGTTGTCTTTGTCTTATTTTTAATTAAATTTTGCATTTAAATTATTTGCACATCATTGAATTTTATTTTTATTTACATTTTGCACAGCATCCCTTTTTTTGGAAATGGGCTTGTATTATATATCATATATCTGTGACATATTTTCAACACATCAATAGTTCAGGCATGAAGTGAAGCCACTTCATTAGGATCTCACTGGTTGCCAAACTAGTGTGAGATGTGTTATCACATTGAATTAAACATGTGGTGCAAAAAAAAACGTGGTGCAGTCTGAGATTTAATGATGAATTGTTATGAGGATCATAATCAAATCATAGTGAAGTCTGAGATTTACACCACTAAAGCCTTTTTTAATCTGACAGTGCCCAAGCCCAGGCCTTCCTACTCAGTTAACCACTGCTATTATCAGTCTATCATTAGTCAATCAAGCAGAGCAGGAGTTTCTTACTGTGGTCCATAATTGCAACATAGATTTCTGAGTCTGACTGTCTTCCTCTTGCTGTCCAGCTGATTTTTGCAAAGCTGTGGCTAACAGTGGTGCTTATGTTGAACAGTGCTGAGAGAGAGAGAGACCAAAAGAAAGACAGAAAAAGAGACAGACAAGCACCAAGACACTTTAGTTAAGGCAAGAGACCCAGCATTGCCCTGAAGATAAAGGAGTTGAGAAGATCTAGAGGAGATTATGTGTAATAGTAATTATTTAAAGCTATACTATGTAAGATTTGGGGATTTGGAGACCTCTCTGGTAGAAATGTGTAATTACACGTACTGTGCAGAACATCGATTGTGCTTCGAACCCCTTTCTCATGTGGATGAAACTGCTGATTGTGAGTGTGTTGAAAGACTATTCACTCATTACTGTACTTAAGTATTTCCAGTTTGGGTGACTTTTTACTTTCACTCCACTACATTTCAAAGTCAAATATCTCACTTTTTACTCCACTACATTATGAGAAATCTGCCGTTCCTTTTGGTTTATGTGTGTATAAAAACGTAACATGTCAAAACGAAAGAAGCGCGAAGCAACAACACCAATCAGGGCACAGCGGTCACTTTGTTTTGAGCTTGTTTTGACCTGTTGGTCATACCGACCCAGTGCAGCACACGGTTCAACGTCAGTGCAGCAGCGTAAAATTTTGGGAGAGTCTATTCAACATAAATGATGAACTAACCTAACTTTGTGTAAACAGACCACAATATAGAAATATGTACTCATATGCAGTTGAGACTGACGTGTCTTTATTCTGAATTTATACAAACAATATTTCATTTTATAGTAAATTAGTTTTGGCTAGTTTATGTTTATGAACAGAGACCTACAGATGCAGTTTAGTAAAGGAAACTCATTTGTGAATCTGAGTTGAAAGTTTTTATTAAACTTAAACTTGTAACTAAGTTCAAATAAATCTTAAACTGAAACTTTGCTTGTTTGTAAGAAGTGATTTCAGAGCCACTCAGTTCTACCTGATGGAAACTGTTTACCTTCAGTGTTTTGTGCTTATGATCATTTTAATAGACATCAGCGTCACTAATTAATGACATTCTATTAAAAGACTGGTTTACCAAGAGAGACACTGGAGTATTTTCACCTAAAATGAGTTAATGAAGCAGAGTCTTGTTATAAAATGATAATAGGACATCAGAGTCATAATTAATCTTTTAGTACTTTTACTTTGGACACTTAAGGACATTTGACGGCAAATACTTTTGTACTTTTCCTCAAGTGGAGGTCTAAAGGGAGGAACTTCTACTTTTACTGGAGTAATATTTTACCTTGGGTATCTCTACTTTAACTCAAGTACATGTTTTGTGTACTTCGTCCAGACTGTAAGCCACTCCGGCTGAGAGTGTCCACCAAATGCTGTAAATGTAAAACCTAAAAATCAAGCTGGACCTTCGTTTTGATTGTGTGCTGCTAATGTTAATGCATAAAAACGTATAACGTGGTCTGAAAAACCTGTGAAATCCAAACCGGGCACAATTGTAACAAAAAAATCTTACATAGTGCAGCTTTACCAAAGCATGTACTACATTCCTAAAGCTACAGATATCATGTGAAACATGAGATTTCAAAAAATAAAGCCTTGAGAAAATGATGGTGCACCATGGTAGATACCTATGGGGGAAATGGTGGGGTTGTCAGTAGCAATGACAGTGTAGGATGAAGTAAAAGAGAAAGGCTGCCCTGCAAGACAGAGAGACAGGATTTCATACCACATGCAGATCACAGTAGGTTAGACTACAGTAGAGGAGGATTTGTCAGTCGTCTTGATGTTGCCTGGCGAGCTGACATCTCGTTGTCAGCATCCAAAATGCAATATCCATGTGTGTCATCCGGATTCAAGAAACCATGAGCCATCAGTCTCGAATCATCACGCACAATGCTTTGTTTTGCCTTTGCTCACCCGCGCTTCGGCAGCCCCTCTTTTCAGCGAGCATGAGCCTTAAACAATGTGTTTCTGTCAGCAGCCAACAATATTAGTGGGTATTTTAGTGGGTGTGCTGTTGTTATTTGAAAGCCAACAAAGCGAGTTGCTGCAATGCCAAAAATTGGCCTGCCAGTTCCTGACTGCAGCTTTAAGCATGCTGCTGTTTTTCTGTGTGCTCTTTAAAAAGAAGCACGGGGACAATGCTTTAGCATCTTTTGAAGGCAGATCAAGCAAAGACACTATCAGCTAACTCAAACATTACTGGTCAATATGGTCTCCTCTGTTGAATAATACATAAAAGCCAGTTCCAGTTCTTCTTTGAGTAAGTAATACAACAACAATCGCTACTACTGCTGTTACCACCACCATTCATACCACGATTACAGCTGCTACCGCTCCTACAGTCTCAAAAATAAAGGTTTCTAAATGGTTCTTGGCTTGGATGTGGAGGTGTAAGGAAAACTAAATTGGTATAGAACCTTTATATTATGTGGTGGTTTCATTTTACTAAGCTTCTTTATACTAACAGTAGATTTGACATTTATAAAAATGGTTCTAATTACGCTTTATAACCGATATTCTCAATAAAAACTGAAATATAGTGCTTTGTAATAGCAAAGGACCTCAACACTTCAACATAACATCAGTCATCCTTCTCTGTTTTCGTCTCTGTCTGCGTGCTGAGACTCCAGTCAGGTCCATTTATATATTAAGACACAGACAAAGTTATTGTTATCTTAGTTGCCTACCACAGCATATGGCCATGTCCATCACCTGACCAGTCCAATCAAGCAGGCATTACACTTATTGAAAGCAAAACTGAAGCTATCATGCCCCAAGAACATATAGCAGCTGAAGACAGCTGCAGCAAAGGCCTCTCAGAGCATCCCCAGAGGAAAACGCAGTGTCTTTAGGCAGTCGTTGACTGCAAAGGTTTTAAAACCAAGTTAAAAATCACAATTTAATTTATGATGATAAGTTTCTCACATTACTTTTGAGTCCCTAAGAATGAGGAAAGCTGAACGTCTGCATTTTCAGTTTATCTTCATCATTTAACTTCACCTAAATGACCTGACTGTATAAGAAAGATAAAGTATTTTATAAAGGCATGCGTTTATTTCATCAGCATTTCTGCCATTATGCTAAAAGGCTAAGTTTGAATCATTGTGAAGGTGACAGTAGAAGAGCACTGTTACTTTCTTGGTTTACTTTTTTGCATCATAGTGTCCGTCTTCTTCCCCTCCCAAATGATGCAAAATGTCCCTCCCTCTTCTGAGCATTTTTTACAGTTATACTAGGAGTGGAGTTATACGAGGGGCGGTCATTAATCTTTAAAGAAGCATCCATTATAAAGTCTTTTAGGGAATCAAAAAAATACGTTATTTGTTCTACGGCATCGATCCAAAGAACCCTTTTTGGCACCTTTATTTTTAAGAATGTATTACTGCTAGTGCTACTTCTACAACTACTACTCTACTAGTGCACTACTACTACAGCCTCTACAGCTGTAACACTGCCACTATCAATACCACATGCTGTCACTACTGTAATGTTGGCCTACACATAATATAACACATAATAGCAAAAAATATAGATTTTTTGGTCACAGAAGTTTTAAAGCCCCACCCAGGAATGGTCAAATTGATGTCATAGGCATTCCATCACTAGCCGGAAACCATTCTAGATGTATTTATTGTCCACTATATGTCCAAAAGGACCCAGGCACCCGGCTACTCAGTACGCTGATTGATGACACAGGCGTTCAGCTCACATGCAAATGAAATGTATTTCCATATCTTTTTCAAAATATGTGCAGTTTGTAACATATTTACATTAAGGTTAAACAATATGACAATATTTATCATTACCATGATGAATTATGTCACAATACGTCACAATAGGCTTGTATGAGCATATTGTGAATATTGTCAGTACTTAACAATTTCCAGTTGCTTGTTTGATTACAAAGAGAGCGTAATTAGTCCTGTTTAATTGGATTCAATGCAGCTCAGTATGTCAAATATTAAACACAAGTAATTGGATTCATAGTTTTTGATAGTATTTTTTAAATGTGGCGCTTTGGCACTTTCTCTATTCCAATATACCAGATGTCAGAAAAAAAGGTATCGTGAAAATACCTTGCATTGTGATATTACAGTTCTCCCATATTGCCCAGCACTACTTTCCATATATGTTTGGCATATATGTCCTTCTTTAAAATTGACACTTTAAATATTTATCTACATATGTGCTGATATTTCAATTCATTGCCACATAAGTACATTTACTGGCATGTATTTAAATATTCAAAACAGGCAGATTTAAATATATTTTGCACATATTTTAAAGCATCTCATACATTGCATGTATACTGTACATAAATTCTTATTCAGGCTCATATATTATGCGCATATATTTTTAATATGAGCAAATATATAGATATATTTTTCATCCATATGGGAATTGAGCATACACAGCTTGTATAAACTCCATAGAAAAGAACTGGCCATAGAATAGGATGCTGTGGAGCAGCTGCACATGAGCTTGAGGTCAACGTTCTCAATGCTAAGCATCACCTAGAGTGGTATAAAGCCCCCCGAGTGTGTAACATTGGAATGGCATTCTCTGCAGTGATGAGGCATCGTCCAGTACCTATAGGTCGAGTTGACCTCACTAATGCTCTTGTGGCTAAAGGCAATCAAATCCTCACAGCACTGTTCCAACATAGGAAGAAAGGGTGGACAAACTGCCTATTAATACCCTTGATTTCAGAAGAAACATTGGATGAGTGTCTACAAACTTTTGGACATATTATGTACACTTCAAAGGTTTCGACAGTCCAGTAGCACTGCAACTTGAAAGCTTCTTGTTGCTGCACCAAACCCAGCCTCTCTGTGTAGAATCCTGGTTGAGGCTTTAAAAGAAAAGCTATTAACTACTAATGCTAGTACATACTCATCTCAGGGGAGGTCGTGAACGCCGGTGAAGAAAAATCAGCTTAGAAAGAGCACAGAATATGGATAAATAGCATTTAACTGGATTGTATTGAATATTAGATAGACCTTCTAACTGCTCATTATTGATTAAATATCTACTTTGCACATTTAATTAAAAAATGGATGAAAACATGGCTGACCTAGTGAGAGAAAATGGATAGAGAGGGGAGAGATCTCATGAGCTTGCTGTAATGCATTACACTCTTACAGTGAGGCTTAAAAATAAGAGATCAATGAAATAATTGAAAAGCTTATTTAGAAGGTCGTTGTGGTAAGAAATGGATGTTATTAGCTTCCAAGTATTCAGCTAGGCTGAACTGCATATTAACCCAAATACTGATACATACTGATCTCTGGCGATGTGACAAACGACGTCGTAGATTCTTCTTGAAATGAATCTTCATGAGAATAAAATGAGAATGTAAGAAAAATACAGTAAAGGCAAACTAATCTAGAGACCATCAAACTTAAAAATAAATTAAATGGCTAAAAAAAAGCATGTTGAGAAAGTAGGGATGCACTGATATGGGGATTGTGGGCCAGTTTCAATTTCTGATATTTTTATGTACATCTGTCGATGTGGATGCTGATATAAACATTTATGCAATGTCAAATTTAGCTTTAGGGGTGTAAAAATGCAACATGATATTGTGATACTGCAATTTGAATCTGTGACAATGTGCTTTGTGGGGATGTGACATGCTATTAATCATGTCATCTAATGTAAGTGCATTGATTCATTCCACGTACTTCCTCCAAGCTCTAATGTTGTTAGTAAGTTATGCAACAACATGATTACGGTCTTCATTTTTCTTCATTCAAATTTAGTTCTAAATTTTATGAGAATACAAAATCACAAAAGTATTGAGATTGAACTGTGGTATGAATATATCACTATATTCCTATGGAGAATTAGAGCATTTACAAATGCTGTAAAATGAGTAAAATGCAGACATTTTGGCAGAGTAGCTCAGTATCTACTAAATGTTCTGTTCTCTCACAGTAACCTAAATGCAGTACTGTGCAAAAGTCAGAGACCATTTTTTTTATTGTCCACTCAAAACCACCATTAAGTACATGATATTGATTAGGAGATATTTAGAGGAGATTAGAAATAAGAGTCTTTTTGGCAGAAAGAAGGGAAAAGTCAAAGGAAAATGAGTGAAAAAAGTAGAGCAAGAAAACCTGTAGAGAAAACGGGACTGAAAGAACAGAACTCACTGAATACTAAAAATGGTTGATACTGTATTTGGTCCCTGAGGCTTGTGTATAATTTTCTGTCAAATATATGTTTTCTGCTTTTTTTTTTACTGACGCTTCTACTTAATGCCCATTTTGACTGGAAATTAAATAAATGATGGGTGGTCTCTGACTTTTGCACAGTCTTGTATGTCATTAAACCATAATTTGAAATAACAGTTAAACCTAAACATCTATGCAATAACATTATATATATATATATATTATTTTTTTTTTAGCAATCATTTGCCAGTACCAATATGATTCCGATATCATGCATCCCTTTTTGAAAATGCTATGTTAACAAATTGAGACTATCCACTACCTAAAACTACATGTCAACTAAATCAGCTACATACTTCTCTAAATGATACATACTGATTGATGTGGCCACTGATGTTGTGGACTCTTCATGAAATGTGTCTTCATGAAAGAAACACTATATTAGTGGGATAATCTACAAACAAAACCTCCACAAACAAGCCAAACACTGGACGGCATGATGAACATGAATAAAAGATGATCAAAGGACGGCGGATGTAAAACAATGCTAGAGTCATGCAACAAAATGCAAGGAAGGAAACACCTTCATGGACCTATTGGAGGTGTTTTAATACTTTTTCAGTACAGTACGACAGACTTACAAGCAACGTTTCATACTCACGTGCTGTGCGTACAGTGCCCTCTTCTTCACTGATAGCTGGTCCACAGCCCACCACAGTGCAAGCACTCAGGTAGAACTGGTACTGACTGCCTAACTTCAGGTTAGAAAGAACCAGCTGTGTTGTGTCTGGTCCACTGATGCTTACTGTGTGAGCTTCGTCCACATCCATTGTTTCATTGACTGTAATGAGACACACAGTGACAGGTCTGTAGCTTGAGCTGTATATTATCTATTTTATGCATAGAAGTGAAAGATCTGTCCATTCCCTGCCCACAAATGTGCTCTTTTGGAGCAACTGTTGTGAAATTGGACAAATGTACAGCATAGAAAGAGAAAAACAATGAGAAATTGCAGAGCACAACTTAAGCTTTTGTCAATAACAGAAATTTAGGGTGTTATTACACTGTAAAAATGGTTCATGAGTTTAACCTAAAGAAAAATACTACATGTGGTAACAAGCAATTTGGTTTTATTCAACTCAAATAAATATTTTGAATGAAACAATGCAAAGCAAAATTTCAGTTTAGAGGAACTAAGGCTGCGTTCAGATAGCAGAGTATATTCCGCTCAAAATGGTATCATATCCTACGGCAGGATGCAGATTCCGCAGGCTCTGCTTCTTCCACCACGGGCCCAGTTTTTCCCATTGTGGTTCCCAGATTTTTTTGGTGAGGCTCCTCACGGATTGAGTTGAAAAATGTTCAACTTCAGTGGAAAAGCTGTGTGTATCATGTGTCACTTTTAATGAGGTAACCAATCAAAAACAAGGCAGGAAAAACTGACCCAGACAGCACACAGATCTGTACAGCAGGACAGGTTTGCTCACGTTTGTGATTTTTAAAACATTCAGAAGATAAATATTAGTTCACAGGCATATGTATCATCCTCTGCATTATCACATCCCTCAGCTTGATGAGTAGTTCATTTTAATGCAGAAATGTGATGTATCACTTTGCTTGCTGGCTGTGGTGTCCAAAGCACTAACATTGCTGATGTTCACATGGACTGATGAGAAACCTGCTGGACTTATCTTCTCCAAAAAGAAGCACAATGATAGCTAGTCTATAAATTTGTGATATGTGATGTGTGTTGAACTTCCTGCCTATTACACCATCCATAAAGATCCGCTTTTACATCAATTAAAACTGCAAAAACACTTCAAATCAACTTTGGCCCTGTTCCAATTTTTTACAGTGTGATTTCAAATCAAGCTGTTGGGACAGTGCAGATTCAATACTGTTTCCAACCTGCCTTAAGGGCCCAACCATGATGCTTAAGGTCATATTGTGTACCTTACCTTAAATAAGTTTTAAAGGTACACTACGTCCAGTTTCTCAGGAGTCAAACCAATTTTTAAAAACTATAATTGCAATAGAACATTTTTGAATGATGTATACTGAAGATGTGCCTTCAAGGGAGTGGTCTCCAACCCTGGTCCTGGAGATCTACCTTCCTGCAGAGTTTAGGCTACGTTCGCATTACAAGCCTCATTGCTCAAATCTGACTTTTTGCTCAAATCCGATCTCTATGATATGATGGTTCACACTCGTTTAGGTAAGTGATTCCAATCTGTCATTAATGTGAACGAACCGGCGTCCTGAAATGACCCTCATGAGCTCATCCTACTCAGTAACGACACGTGAATGAATCACGTTCATCATCAGCACAAACTAACGAGCAGAACGAGCTTCGCTGAGAAGATAATTAACTCTGATCAGCTCTCAGCTTCATTATTAGAGCGAGACGAAGGAGAAAAAGGTGAGATGAGCTGCTTTTCCACAGTTTACAGGCTTTAACTGCTGTTCGGCGCTGCTGCCATGGTAACGCTGAATGATGGCGCAGTGGAAAAAAAGCACATGAATTCCGATCTGAGCGTCACATTAAGGTCGCATGGCCACGAATCGGATACGTATCCGATCTAGGACCACATATGAAAGTGGGTCAGGTCGGATTTGAAATGTTCAGATTTTTGTGTCCACACAGCTCTGAAAACATCAGATCTGAGTCACATTAGGGCAAAAAATGGATTTGTGCCACTTCAGCCTGGTAATGTAAACATAGCCTTAGTTCCAATCTGTATCCAATAAGCTGCACCACCCACTTAAGTCCAATACTGTCTGGTCTAGCCTATCAGGGACTTAGGAAGAGGTTGATTAACTGGAGCAGGTGTCGCAAATAGATCTCCAGGACTAGGGATGGAGACCACTATCTTGAGGTTACCACTCCAGTGACAATTTAATACACTGTAAAAAATTTACATTGTAAACTATAAATTACAGGCTACTACTTGCATTACTTTCACATTACCTTACCATATTAACAGTAAATAACAGTAACTTCCTGTAACTTCAGTCACCTGCACCACAAGATTACAGTGATGTAGCGGTTTTCTCCTGTATTTTTACATAACAACTGTAAAAGTAACAACTCAGCAGCCAGTAATTTACTGTAAATTTATATATGAAAGATAATGACTTGAATTTTTTTATTTTAATTCAAGTAAAAGACTAAACATATTTATTCACCATCTCAAGTATGCTCTTTTGCATATAATTTGATGTTGATTTCAGTTGATTTCACAATAAAATGATGAATACATGAGTGATTTATTGTGAAAAGAAATATTGTGAAATACTAGAAATAATTAATAATATACCTTTTACTATGAGAGTGCAGTTAAACAGGTCTATCTCTGTGAAATTTTGTAATGTACGGGTTTAGTAACAGTAGTCAAGGACGGTGGTGCTTGACAGATTAGCACTGTCTATTAATCACTGCTTATACAATGAACAGACATGCAGCCAAAGTGTGTGATGTAACTGGAATGGGATCATGTTCACATACTTAGCTGGTACTGTAGTCTGTAGCCTGTGAGGATGCCGTTGGCTTCGAGTGGTGGTGCCCACACCAGAGTGATAGAGTCACCCTGAGGGTTTGTGGCTCTCAGTATAGGAGGTCTCTCAGGAACTGCACACAATTAGCACACATTTAATCCCTGGCCCAGGTTCAGTAATCTGACTAACAGAGTGAAGCATGGTGGAACCGCAGAACCAGAGAATTTAATACAACTTACAGCTTTTAAAATTTAACCCTGTGAAGCCAATTTAGCTTTTATAAGTCAAGAGCTTTTAGTTTTGTTTTGCTTTACTATTCATGTGTAATGATGTAACGACACTGTGAGTTATGCAATGCTTAAAATTACAATTGATTTACATTCTGTATTAACTTTACACTTCTCTTTCCATTTCATTTTGACAAATAAGATTTTTTTTCTGAGTAGTCCTTTGTAGATGATTAATAAACTCTTAACAGAGTATCAGTAACACATCAGCAACATATCAGTGAAGTAGCAGTAGAGAAGCAGCTGAATACACTGAAGTAAATATCCTGTAGATGTTCTGTTGATACATTACTTACATTAAGTAGATGTGTTGTTATGTTATTTCAATTATGCAAAACCCAACCTTACCCAAAACCTAATCCTAACCCTGGCCCTAATCCTAACCCTAACCTTAGCCTCTTCCCAAAACCTAATCCTAACCCTCACCCTGGCCCTAATCCTAACCCTAACCTTAACCTCAACCTAAACCTAAACCCTAATCCTAACCCTAATCCTAATGTTAGGCCTTATATGTTATTAGAAATTGCCGAAATATATGTGTTGCCTAGAAGCAACATTGCGCAACGAGTGAGTTTAGCCAGTAGCAAAGGAAGTGCCACTTATTCACTCGCTTAAGAGAGTTTTTCATTTATAAATATAATATGAAAATTAAGATTTAACTCGTCATGTTTTTGTGTATTTATGCAAGCAAAATTATGTAGTATTAATGCGTATGAAACATTAGTATCTAGAAGCCCATTCTAGTCTGTTTTGTGATGTGGTAGATAGTATGCAGTATGTTTTACTGTCATAATTGTCATATATATATATGTATATTAATGAAAGCCAATTCTGATTATTTGAAAATGACTTATTTTTAGCATGGTTTTACTGATACATGTGGTTTCAAATGATTGTATTGCAAGAAATCCAATAATTACTTCATAATGTTTCCTCATAGTAAGGCAACGTCTTTAAAAATAACTTGATATAAATTTTTAGCATTTATAATATTTAAAGATGAACTTGTATGATTGTGTGGTTACTCAGTTTTTTTCCAAATGTTTGGATATAGAACATCTTTTATGACATCGCACAATGTTGCCTCTTGGCAACATACCCTAAAAGGCATGCAACACGCTTTTTTATTGTTTTTAATTTAATTATCATGTCCAATGTAAGAAACTGAAAATATTGCTCTCATAATATGTGCAATAGAGGTTTAAGGGGTTAAATCTCCCCCCCTTCTATTTGTAAACACAAATATGGTATTGCTTCAAAGATAAGAAACCATGGTTTCAACACAATTTCTCTGCGTATTTAAAAGAGCTACGAGTGAGAAAAATAACAGTGAATTACTCTGAACTACGCTTCTGAGACTGAGGTTAGCTGGCCTTACTTTCAGTACCAGAGCACTTATACTACCACATAAAAATGAAAGAGCTTAAATAAAACTCAGCAACGCTTTCTGAAAGCCCTGTTTGGAATGTAAGTGATGTGTAACCGCTGCACTTGCCTCCCTGCGGTGTTGTGAAGGTGAGTAGGCTGCTGCTGGGGCCGTTGCCCCTCCTGTTGAAGACGTTGACAGTGAGGCGGTATTCGGAGAAAGGCTTCAGTCCAGGAACCATGGTGTGACTCCTGTTCCCCGTGAGAGTGAGAAACTGCTTCTCAGCAGGAACTTCCTTAGAGGTCAACAGGCTACGAGTTCTCCACCAATGCACCTGAATAAGAGACACAGAGAAGTGGAAAAAAAGAGAGTGAGAGGGAGGCAAATGGGGGAGAGAGAGAGAGAAGAAAAAGATTGAGAGATAAGAAGGAAAGGAGTCAAACAAGAAGAGTGAGGTTAGAGAACAAGAGAAAAAAGTGAGAATAAAATCTCCATGTAAAGGACGGCTGCTGAAGTAGAAAGATAGAAATGGAAAAATATGGAGATATAGAGATATGGAGTTTCTGTGGACAATACATTTGTATATATATATATATATGGGTGACACCTTATTTTGAGTCGTGCTTCTAGATTAAATAAACATTCAACGGACTCTCAATAACATTAAAAAACCATATAAGGAGCCAGGGAGAGAGTTAGAATTAGGTTTTGGGCTGAGGTTAAGGTTAGTGTTAGGATTAGGCTATACTGGCTAAATTCACTTGTTGCACAGTGTTGCTTCTAGGCAACATACATATTTCAGCAATTTCTCATAACATATAATGTCTAACATTATGAGAACTTTTAAAATTATGATACTGAATGTGAATCATATTGTTGGATGGATAACAGACAATGAAAAATTGCTTTTCTGAGCAAAATTGACTGATGCAGAAACATATCATCCACAAGGTGCACCATGCCAAAAATATGTCCACCAGGACAAAGTCTGACCAAGGTCATTTTGATTTATTAAAACCTTTCCTATCATTATCAACCATTTCAGTGTCATTAAACATGTAGCACATCATAGTAAAGTGAGGAAAGGGGGTTTGTTACTCTGAAGTCTTGTTTTGTAGAAGAACGGTGACACTTTATTTGAGTGTCCTTTTAGATGAAACAAATACTGAACAGATTCTCAGACAAAAACATATGAGGGTTAGGATTAGGATTAGGTTTTTGGTTGAGGTTGAGGTTAGGGTTAGGGTCAGAATTAGGATTAGGTTTTGGATAAGGCTGGGTTTTGCTTAATTGAAGTAACAAATTAACAAAACAACTACTTAATGTAAGTAATGTATCAACAGAACATCTACAGGATATTTACTTCAGTGCATTCAGATGCTTCTCTACTGCTACTTCACTGAAATGTTGATGTTTTACTGATAATCTGTTAAGAGTTTATTAATCATCTACAAAGGACCACTCAGAATAAAGTCTTATATATAAAACAGAATAATAAAATATATATATAATAATTATATATCGTAATTATACATAAGTATTTTTCATAAATAATATATTTTGACCTAGAGGCCCAGGGTTAGAGCAACAAAGGGACAGAAAGAAGAACGGCAAGAGATGAAAGGAAGATAAGTGTAAAGAGATGAAAAAAGGAGGAGGAGGTCCATTAATAGCTACAAACCGCCGGGTTGTGGCTAAATGACTTTCCCCTCCTGACCTAGCTAAAGAACCGCAGGGCCGTAACCCAGACAGTGTCGAGTGGTGGGAAGGACACGAGAGACCTGCGGGTCAGACACTCACGCTGTATCCGCCAAGATGGCCCCTCAGCTGGGCCTGGGGGACGGGGGACCAGCTGACCCTGAGCAGCGTGGAGTTCAACACCTCCACAGACACGTCCTCAGGAGCTGCCAGCGGCACTGGAGAGGACAGTCAGAACACACGGGTCTGAGTTAAACACACAACAAACGCTGGGCTGGAGCCAACACACTACAGGATAACACACAGGTGCATCCATAGATTTAACACTGAGGGGGATATGGGTCAGCGTCGAACACAACTCAGCTGTTTACTCGCCACAAACACAGACACACTAACATGTAAACTGACAAGAGAGGAAGGTCGGTGTGAGGGGCGAAAAGTGGGTTTGTGCTACAGCAATAACCAGACAGTATTAACAGTACACATACATGTAGCCTACATGACACATGCTGTAGGGTTTACTGGGCAGAGGTGGTGCGCACTCTAGAACAAACGGTCAAAAAAATAGTCTTTATATAAGAACACAACACGCTCTAAAGCTCAGAGAACACCAGTCCAACATTCTCCAACAAACACCAACATTCAGTAATGATAATTAACACCTCATTGTGCTGGTATTTAAAAAAGGGATCAGGATAATTACCCAAGCTTTTATTGTAGCTTTTTTTGCATTAAAATGTTTTAAAATGCCATAATTACATACAGATATGGCCTGGATCTCATTTAAAATAGCAGAATACACCGATCAGGCATGACATTATGACCTTGAGCTCACTGTCCATTTTATCAGCTCATTTTATCACTATTTGGGTGGTGGATCATTCTCAGCACTGCAGTAACACTGACATGGTGGTGGTGTGTTAGTGTGTGTTGTGCTGGTCTGAGTGGATCAGACACAGCAGTGCTGCTGGAGTCAGGCACTTATTTAGGCACTCCTACCTTGTCAGTCCACCTTGTAGATGTAAAGTCAGAGACGATAGTTTGTGTTGGTCATCCTCTAGTCCTTCATCAGTGGTCACAGGACACTGATGACTGGATATTTTTGGTTGGTGGACTTGGTTGGTGGATTCTCAGTCCAGCAGTGACACTGAGGTGTTTAAAAACTCCAGCAGCACTGCTGTGTCTGATCCACTCAAACCAGTGCAACACACACTAACACACCACCACCACGTCAGTGTTACTGCAGTGCTGAGAATGATCCACCACCCAAATAGTACCTGCTCTGTGAGGGTCCATGGGGGTCCTGACCACTGAAGAACAGGGTAAAAGGGGGCTAACAAAGTATCAGAGAAACAGATGGACTACAGTCTGTAACTGTAGAACTACAAAGTGCACCTATATAGTAAGTGGAGCTGATAAAATGGACAATGAGGTGGTCATAATGTTATGCCTGATCTGTGTATGTGTGTAATATTTATAATAAAATAACCATAAAAAATAAACAACTGTCTACAGAAAGATATTCACTATAGTATCATTATCATACAGGATCTACAGGAGCAGCTGGGACTGGAGCTGATGACCCTTGTTATAGGCTGGTTCTTCAAGGGTTATCTAGTAAAGGGAATTTTTTAAGAGAGCACTCCCAAGAGCTGCAAGGCTGCTTCATCTAGTGATGCACGACTCAGGCATTTCTTGATTCATCCTAAGATCTTGTCTGCTGGAGTTGATTGAGTCGACTCCTTGACTTCACTTTGTTTTAACCAAGACAGCACCAGAGCTGCTGACAAAGGTTTATAACAGAGACTAAACCATTCTGAACCAAAGTTTATCCATTTTTTGAGTACAGATAATAGTGATTATGATAAAAATTGATAAGTCGTAGCGAGTAACATCAGGCAGCTTGACAAATGATCAGAGCTGACTAATGTTTCAACACATCTTACCATCAGCCTATTTCACACAGTGAGGGGAGAAGGGAAAGTCAGAGTGATGTGCTGAGTAAATCATTACTGGAGCCATAATTCTTTTTGAAAGGGAACCATTTTCAAATTCCTTTTCAATTCTTTGAACAGAAACCAAGTTTTCATTCCTGAGCAGCTGGATGTCATCTTGCTCCTCTTTTCAAAAGAAAATGTGTGGGGTGCAGTGTGACATACTCCTTACAGCGGCTGGGGAGCCGTGTTGGCATCATTCACAGCCTGGTAATTAAACATCACTCTACTCAAACTCAGACTCTGTTTCTGCTTTACAAACGCCTCCGTCAAAATGTCCCTCACATCACTCACAAGGAAGAAAACAGAGTTCACAGAGTCGACCCCAAGCATTTTAACTCTCTGAGTCATTGTCCGAGAGTCGACTCCGACTCCCAGATGTGTTGAAGTTAAAGAAACGATTGTTTTGGAGTCGAGTCCACATCACCAGCTCCAACATAAACAACATAAAAATAGAGCATGGTGCATACTACTACAGGGAGATTCACTCAAAAGAGGCCCCGAATAATCTGTTGTAACTTCTGTTAGGATGAAGCAATCAGAACCAAAAAATACGCTACATACCTTGATGTACACCGATCAGGCATAACATTATGACCACCTCCTTGTTTCTACGCTCATTGTCCATTTTATCAGCTCCACTTACTATATAGGTGCACTTTGTAGTTCTACAGTTACAGACTGTAGTCCATCTGTTTCTCTGATACTTTGTTAGCCCCCTTTTACCCTGTTCTTCAGTGGTCAGGACCCCCATGGACCCTCACAGAGCAGGTACTATTTGGGTGGTGGATTATTCTCAGCACTGCAGTAACACTGACGTGGTGGTGGTGTGTTAGTGTGTGTTGCGCTGGTCTGAGTGGATCATATGTTCATACGTATGAATGGCTAGTACATGTGAAATAACCTGTATAGTTGTGTGTATGTATATTTGTATTGGTAGAAAAGTGGCATTCCAACCTTCAGCCAAACTCCCAATGTTTTGTGTGTGGGGAGGTGGTGTTATCAACTACGCTGTCCATCTACATCAGGCATGTCAAACCGGGGACATTCCGGGCCAAAGTGCTGTGGATATTAATGTTTACGCTCATCTAACGCCCTGAATTCAGTTCACGAAGGCCTTACTAATGAGGTGATGAGCTGAATGAGGTGTTTAATGAGGCAGTGAGCTGAAGTCTGCTGTGTTTTGGCCCACAAGGACTGGAGCTTGACACGTGTGATCTGCATGTTAGAGTGTGAGAGCTAAAAACAAGGTGCTAAATTTTCAGTCGTAATTATTGTTTGTAATTCCAATCGTTAAGAAAGACTATTAATATGTTGTCTGCCTATATATTATGCACCCCTTTCTGTTGGCTGTTCAAGAATAAGAACAATAAACTAAACAAATCCGTGTGAATGGAGGGGAACACTCTAGACCAGGGGTCTTTGAGTAAAATTCAATAAGGTCCAGTTAGAGAAAATTTCCTCAAGCAAAGGTCCAGAACATCATAATGTCTAACATGCATTATGATTCAGTGCCATATACTGTTTACTGAAGTAGCCTAGTAGGTATATCAACATCTTATACAGTCAACAACTGAATGACAAATCAAATAAAGTACAGTTCAGTCATATTTCAATAACATTTATTGTCAGTTTTCTCTTTTTAGAGCAAACAATGTGAAATAACTTCCCTCTGACTCACTTTCTTCTCCAACTGCTGTTTCTCGCCTCGTCCCTCCCCTGTGTGTGCATCGCTCACTCAAGGCTCAGTGCTCATCATAATGCACAGATCTGATTGGCTGAGTAGCGTCACGTGTGATATTCACAATGCATGTGATTGGTCTGTGAGTCTCCCGGGCCACTGAAGTGGGACCGTAAAGCTAGAAAAGTTATGCCGATTAAAACAGGACCACCCTGTCCAAATTAAATAATTCTCCTTAGTTTATTTGTTATAGGTTCAGGTCCACATAGGACAGTGCCTGGGTCCGGACTCAGACCACAGTCTGCTTATTAGTGACCTCTGCTCTAGAGCTCATGTGTCAGGATCCAGTCCTCGCAGGCCAAAACAATGCAGGCTTCAGCACACAGCGTCATTAAACGCACCTGATTCAGCTCATCAGCTGATTAGCAAGGCCTTCATAAACAGAATTCAGAGTGTTAGAAGAGAGCAAATGCTAATCTGTGCAGCACCCCAGTTTGACATGATTTGATACATCATTAAAATGTCAGGGTTTGTTGGAGAACATTGGGTCCATGTGCTCTGAGCTGAACAGATCCATAGAAATAACCAAACCTGTTGCATTATCCTCAAGACAATGCCAAAAGGCAACTGAAGACATGGACAAACATAATTACACACAAAGGAAAAATCACATCATTGACCAGGAGGCAAATGATAAGATATAATTTATGTGAGTTAAACAATAAAAGATGAATGACAGCAGTGCCTCGTCAGACTAAGCATCTCTCTTCTCACCACAAATGTTTGTGTATTCTGCCAAAATGTCTACACCAGCTGTCATCGCTGCTTCTACATTTTGAACGAGCGCCAACGTGCACAGTTTTTGTTAGACATTGGAGGCACCAGCATTGCTGTTACACTGGAAAGAGCAATGCATTCAGTTTTATTTCAAATACATTAAATAAGATTTATTACATCAACATGATTTTGACTTACTTCTGTCAATGGTTGTGTTGAATATACTATACTGTGCAAATGATGTACACATAGGTTTCCTAAAGCACATAGATTTAGGTAAAGGTGAAGAGTATAAAGAGGTGTTTCACTCACAATCTTCCCCTGAATATCCGGTCACCACTCTGGGATCTGGAGCCCAGCCCTGGTGGTTGCGGGCCTGGATCTTGATCTCATAAGGAACAAATGTTGGGGTGTCTTTCACAACAAACGAGTGTCTCTTCAAGATGTGCTCAGTCCAGGTATCCTCAACGCCCAGCTGCCTGTAGCTCAGCTTATACTCTAGACCAGGCCCATTGTGTTCTATGGGCAACAAAGGCTAAGACACAAAGACAGTGTTTACAACCAGAGTTAGTGCCAAAATATATTTCCCCCTCCTGATACAGCTTTTAAATGATCATTTCATTGACTGAAGGAAAAAAGTTGTCCAACACGAACTGGCTGTGTGTGAAAAAGTAAATGCCCCCTTAGTTACTCAATCAACCCATTAAATCAAATTTAAGTGGACCTATTATGTTCATTTTGAATATTCATAATTTTATTGTTGGGGTCTGATAAGCCCAGTGGGCTCTGATTGGTCAGACTGCCAACTCTGTTCTGATTAGTCAACTGTCAGAGCGGCATCCTGAACCACGTCTACACCGCTGTGGGTTTCTTAGAATAGAGGCTGTTCTACTGCATGAGTTTGAGCCAGAGTTCAGAGTTAGATCAGATACGTATCCGATTCGTGGCCATGCAACCTTAACGTGAAGCTCAGATCGGAATTTTTTCCACTGCGCGTGCGCCATCATTCAGTGTTGCCATGGCAGCAGCGCCGAACAGAAGTTAAAGCCTGTAAACGGTGGAAAAGCAGCTCATCTCACCTTTTTCTCCTTCGTCTCGCTCTAATAATGAAGCTGAGAGCTGATCAGAGTTAATTATCTTCTCAGCGAAGCTCGTTCTGCTCGTTAGTTTGTGCTGATGATGAACGTGATTCATTCACGTGACGTTACTGAGTAGGATGAGCTCATGAGGGTCATTTCAGGACGCCGGTTCATCACATTAATGACAGATTTGAGTCACTTACCTAAACGAGTGTGAACCGTCCTGTCAGAGAGATCGGATTTGAGCAATGGGGCTTATAATGTGAACGTAGCTTAGATATCACTTACATATATCCTTCCCAGCAATATAAGGTAGGATAGTAGGTCTCAAAAAGCAGGCCAAGAGCGCATTCAACCCAAAACAGCATCATATCCAAAGGCAGGACGAGGATCCTGTGGGCTCTGCTTATTCCACCGAGGACTGTTTCCTTCCGACATGCATTCTCACAGATTGAGTTGAAACGTGTTCAACTTCCACAAAAAAGGCTGTTCACAAGGCAACCAGTCAAAAAAGAAGACAGGTGAAATTGAGCCAGAGAGTGAGCGCAGGGCTGTACAGTACGACGGTTTTGCTCGTGTTTGCAACTTAAAACGTATTCAGCTCAAAGATAAACATTAATTCACTGTTAAATTCATCATCCTCTGCGTTGTTGTCACTGAGGTTTGCTAATAAAACACCTTGGGGAATATACCACGAGTTCCTCACGCCACTTTAGCTTGGTGAGCATTTAACCTGAATGTGTAACTACGATGCTGCGTCTCTTTGCTTGCAGGCTGTAGTGTTCAAGGCACTCGGCAATGTTGCTAATGTTCACATGAGCTGATGAGGAAGAATTAAAGCTGCTGGGCTTTTCCTCCTCGTCTTTCTCAGACAAAGCACAATAAGTATCAGTAATAAGTCTATCCGTTTAGTGTGATGTGTGATGCGTGATGTGGTGTTGAACACTGGCTCCTTCTCTGCTATTTTTAAAAACTATTTTTTTTAACTTTGCATTTATATCAACATTTACAAAACAAGTCAGGGATGTAAAAATGAACAGGGAACATCAACTGTCACTAACTATCGAATACAAAGACAGCTACAAACAAGTCACCGGGGAAAAAAGGAACAATTGACTGACAGAGGCTTTCAACATTCATATTTTCATTAATTGGGGCATATTTCTAAATACTTTACAAAATTATTCATAAAGAAGGCATAAGAGGGGGTAACGCTCTTACACATACAAATATATATATAGTATTTCCCCATAATGATAACTAGATTAACCATTGCAGAAACATTCTGCAATATGCATGAAATTGCATGAAATTCTGGAGTAACCCTTTTTTTAAAAGCTAACCAATCATGAATTTTATTTGAAATCTACAAGAGAAGAATAAATGTTCTGGAGATTCTGCTTCAGCAGCACAAAACGTACAAAGATCCAGACCAAAATTAAACCTCCTCTGCAGAAAGACACACTTTGCAAAACTGTCACAGGCAGATTTCTCACAGTTTAATGCTGTTTTTTTTTTGTTGAAATACGTTCTGCTGTCTGAAAGCAGACTAACACTCCAATAAATTAAATTATTCTCTAAAACTGCGTTTTGTGTTTCTTTATGTTCTCCTTTTCTTATAGAACATTTTGTGTGAAGATCTGAATTGATTTAGTGTGACAAACATGCAACAATAGAAGAAATCAGGAAGGGGGCAATTACCTTTTCACAGCACAGTCCATCTAATAATTGCTAATTTGATTGATTTTGTGTGAACATGTAAGAATGTACAGGGTCAGCGTCCATGGCTTCTCAACCTCCTCTGAAAGAATTTCTGATAAATTGTATCTAATTAGTAGCAGTCTCTGTGAAGTTGGTTGGGAAATCAGGTTGGGAATTTGGCCTGGAAAGCTTTCCTTTATTTTGACAGGTACCTGTGACAGGCCCAGTCTTAAATAACAGCTAATTACAGGGAGGAAATACAGAGAGAAACACAGCTTCCCTCGTGTTCCCTGAAGAACTATTTTGTCAGCATGTGTTAATTATTTAGATAATACAATGAAATGTATTAAAAGTGAAGCTTCTTTGCTTTTTGAAGGATAAACATACAGGAGACGCCTCATGAAACACTCATAAACATCGGCTATTTCATCAGGTACACCTGCCATAAAGGTGCACATTGTAGGTTTAAAATTACTCTCATTTTTCATTGCACAGTTTATCAGGCCCCCTTGACCCCATCCATCCATGGAAAGGGACCACCATAGGACCTCACTAACCAGATATTATTTGATTAGTAGACCATTCTCAACACAACAGTGATACTAACAGGGTAGAGGCATGGTAGCATGTGTTGCTCTGATATGAGTGCACCAGTCATAGCAGTGCTGCTGAGGTTTTCTAACACTGTACAAGTACTGTCCACTTCATTAGAGGCTACAGTACTGTGTAAAAGTCAGAAATCACCCTTTCTTTTATGTAATTTCCAGTAAAAATTACCATTAGTACAAGTTATTAGTTTTTCAGTGTCAGAAAAACACAGGAAACATTTAAGTAACAGAAAATTACACTGGGGAACACTGAAGCCTCCAGCACTACGTATAACATCAAATCTATCTGTATTTAATTTGCTCACTCTATTTTTGAGCTTCCTGTAACCACTTTAACTCTTCTACTCTTACAATCTTCAAACAAAAGAATTATATCTGTGTCCTCCCAACAAAAGATTCCCAAAGGAGTAACTGATTAGTTTCTCTTTCAAAGAGACATTAACATTCACACAAGCAACTACCCAAACACACCTTAGCCGCCTTGCATATTTCGCTCTTATGTGCATCGAAAATGGCTAAAGGAGAGATTTCTGATGAGATGAGATATAAAATAATCTTGCAAAAGAAAGGAAAATGTCAACAGTTTCCAAAACTGGAAAAAAATGAATAAAAGATACAGAGCAAATGGAACTCCTAACAACCGTGAAAGTCCTGGTAGACCACAAATACTGTCATCATCAAATAAACAGCACTACCCTTGTGTGGTTTTGGGGTCTGTGGGACCATTTTCAATGTTTAGCAAAAGAAAAAATGAAGCAATTTATTATTATTTCAACCTCATTTTCTGTGAAGAACATATAAAACAACCCATTTTTAGTGTCTTCACTCTGTTCACCCCCACACATTTATATTACACATGTGGTGTTGGGTGAACCTGCGGGGAGTAAAAGTGTGGAGGTGCTGTGTCCTTCACTCTGTTCTCCTCCTACATGGCCTGCTGTTAGTGTGTGTGTGTGAGGGTGGACAACATGGACAGGCTGCTGACTGGCTACAGCTGCTAAAGGAGAACCCTACGCTGGACACTTGTGATATTTTTTTAACACCTAGTATTTTTACATAAATTGTTATGGCTGTATTGATTTAAAAACACAATAATGTGGTGGGTCCAGCAGACCACTGAGTAACACACACATCAACACCACACAAGGGTTAAAGCTTTCATCTTTGAGAGAGAGGAGAAAATCAAGCTCCACTCTTGATTCAGATCTGAAAAATCCACGGGTGTTTCTGTCCATTGTTCCACTGTGAGACGACGACTACTCAACACTATTAGTCTGAAAGGACGTGTAGCTGCCAGGAAGACATTACTGAGAAAAAAGGAACAGATAAAAAAAGAAAATTTGCACGAATACATCAAAATGGGACATCTAAGATGTGGAGTAAGGTTTTATGGACTGGTGAGTTTTCACTTGTACTTGAGATCACTAAGATTGTCAGAGGCAGAAAATGCTACCAACTCCTAAGACTGAACTTTGAAGGTGTGGAAAAGTGTCCCTGCAGATTTCTTAAACAAAACTCAAAGCAAGTCTCCTGAAAAGAATGGAAACTATAATGAATGCAAAGGGTGGACACAGTAAACACCGAAAAACAGGACCACTGTTGTCTGGATGTTTTTGGATGGCCGACTATTCTAAGCACATGAGTGACATTAAGGTGTAGCGGTAGCAACAGTGCTGCGCCTGAGTCACTCATACCACCCACTACCATGCTGGTATCACTATTGTCCATCTCCTAATAATATCTGGTCAGTGATGGTCTTATGGTGGTCCAGTTTCATTGATGGATGGGGTAGAAGGGGATGGATGGGATTTGAAGGCCGATTGCGTCATAGCAGCATGACTAGACTGTCTCATTTCGAAGCCTCCTTCATATGCAGCCGAGAAATTTGTTCTTCTTTTCCATGGCAACGAAGGATCCAACTGGTGGATCCTTTGCCAGCCAACATATCCCGAGGTTCACTGCATGCCGGCGAAGATTCAATAACATGGCGGCGTCAGGAGAGGAGTGAATGGAGCAAAACACTTTGAAATGTAGGTATTGGGTTTGAACTGAGTCGAATAAGCGAACGATACAATTGTTAAAAAAGCCAATTTGAAATGTTTCGTTTTGTTTTAGTGAGCAAAGAGCCGACAGAGAGAAGCATCTCCAGCTCTCATAAATGAAAAAATAAAAAACAGTTTCTGTCTTTAAAGGACTTTAAAAGAAATGTACAGGAGCGGTGCTGTACGGTGAGGGCGGAAACAGCGGTGCTATGACGCAAACAGGAAATCCACTGTAGAGCAGCCTGTCTCATTTCGATTCAGCCTTCGCAGGTCTACACAGCCTTCGAAGGACGCAGTCTATGAAGGTGTGTCCTTTGGGACAGTGATAGTCAGTTTGTGTAAACATGCACCTATACTTACACCTCAGCATGCACTAAAGAGAAAGTTTGTTTACCTCCCAAGAGATGTCCATCTGATGAGGCAAATGACCCTCAATCTTAATATTTTCCGGATTCCTATCAGGGGCTGTTTAAGAAAGAAATATGAATTATTACCATCTGTCCAGTCTGTCTTGAGTGTGCAGTCTTCAGTCAGGGACACAGCATCATCAATATATCACTTATATATCGTTGCTGTCCAATGAAAAACATGTACCATTTTTTGCGATTTTTACTTTTCTGCGTCATTTGAGCTCAGCAGCTGTCCTTTACGTTGTGTGAAAATTTCATGATGATTGGACCAATAGAAATGCTCCAAAATTGATTGGACCAATAGAAATGCTCCAAAATCGCTTAGAACAAAAACTTTTTCCATTGACTTACATTGAAAGTAAAGAACGTTTTTGCCCTCTCCTGTAAAGTTACTATTTTGGAGATACTTGTTTTTCGTTGGACAGCGATGATATATAAAATATGTATAGAAGACAAAATCAAATATCTTGGGAATTCCTGAAGCACTAAAATGCTTCCACTGAAAAAATTCCACTGATATTTCAAAATTTCTGCATAAAAACAAAATTCAAAGTAGACCAGCCAAAGGTCTACTCTACTGTGAAAAATTAGTGTTAAAGATTGTGACATCTGAACTCACATCTGAAAAAAAACACAAATGTTTGATCAAAGTAACAGTAATGTCTCTCATTAAATTACTGGCTACTGAGTTGCATTACTTTTACAGTTGTTATATAAAAATACAGAAGATTACTGTATTTTAATCTTGTACTGCAGGCGACTGTGGAGTCACAGTATATTTTGCCAATTTACTGTTATTTACTGTAAATATTATAGCAAATCACTGTGATAAATTAATGCATTTAGTAGCCTGTCATTCACTGTAATTTTACAATGTTTAACAGTTTGGACACATGGCATAAGTATCCAGAGAGAAAAGTAGTCTTCCTACCAGCAGGAGGCGTTTTATATCTCTCAGATGGTTTGCTGGGACGGCCTGTGCCAATGGCGTTGACAGCGGTGACTCTGAACTGGTAGTTAATGTGGCCATATAACGACAGCGGGGCAGAGTTCTGGTTGCCAGATACACGCAAAAGTGGCTTCCACTTCCCAGGCTCCCAGTGGTTCTCCTCATACTCAATGCTGTATTCTGCTCATGAATACGAGATGCTGAAGTCATTCAGAATGCAGCACACACACTCTATATATACTGTACGCCAGTCCCAGTGGGATCAGGCTCAAGTGCTCCTGAGCAGTGAATTAGCATCTAAATATGAAGAACTTTAACTAGAAAGAGTGAACTAGGAGGAGGATCATCTTTGTAGACTTTGAGCCTTGGATAAAGTGTAAGGAAGAACCTGCACATCACCTGTTACAGGGCTGTTATAGTCCTTGGTGGGCACCCAGTTAAGCCTCACACTACGATCTCTCAAATCAGATAATGACAACCGCACTGGAGGATCAGGAACATCTAAAGAACATTAAACATCACAGGTGTGATTAATCGTTATCCTGACATTAAACAACAGCTTAGTTCATTTTTATTTTGGCTGTCCAGAAAATAGGATTGTGAAAATAATACACTTTTTAAATAAAAAAATAGGACTTTTATTTTGAAAAAAAAAAGTATTTCAGTAAGATGACATAGTAGTCCATATTGATATCATGGTCAAACATGTATAGTTTATAAATTGGTGATTTAAACATTCATGAACATGTTATGAAGTGTTCATGTAAGATGTTATGAATGTGTTATGTAGACACCCTTCTATGCAGGTAAAGTGTTACCTAATATTTTTCATTATGAAAGTGTTGTAAGAAGCTTATTGCCCTATTATTTCTAGACATTTCTACTTACATAAACTGATCTTAAGTGAAATAACATTACTGCACATATTTTATAGTAATCTGCCAGTGCATTAAGATAATTTCCCTGGATAAAATAACTTGGGTAACACTTTATTATCCTACCTACATAGGGACTTCATAACAGTGGCATAAACAATGAATAACATATTTATAAAGTAATACCTCAATATATAAGCAGCTCATACCAGCAGCTACAACATGACACAAGAAGTAAATGACGCTACATTGACATAACAGCCATTAAACTGAAGTGGAACACATTTATTCCATTTATAACACTGTTATAAAGTAACTTTCCCCAGTAATGAACCTTTACTGCTTTATAAAAATGTCATTTGAATACTTATGCACTTGTTATGAAGTCTCTGTGTAGTTAGCTTCTTAATAAAGAGTTATCATTAGTTAAAATAGGTAAAAAATGTCTATGAAAATCTTGGTATTATCTTATAATTACTATACTATTCTTACAACAATCCACTGTATTAGTATCAGATATATCACCTACATTTAAGATGCTTTCACTCGCCACAATATGATTTTTCGCAGTGCAGACAGGGCAGGCTATTGTGAATGTGCTGCCAGGATGAATAAAGAGAGAATTCCTACCCAGCACAGTGATACGTGCATCTGCTGTAACTTCATCCAGAGGCGTTCTCGCGATGCAGGTATACAGTCCTCCATCGCTGTGACTCACATTGAATATATACAGTATTCTCTCTTCAATGTAGAACCTGTGAATCATCGAAAACAATATTCAGTAGTTTACATGTTTCATATCTCAGATCTTAAATGTTCACCATGAGTGTCATGTGGTCTCATACATAATAAGTGTTTTATTGAAGGGGAATTCCATAGATATTTCAAATTCTGCATAATATAATCATTGATATGTAAACTACGAGGTCTGGCGTGGCTCACGTTGCACTGCAGAGAAACTTACTGATGCAAATATAACCATTTTGATTACTATCCAAACCCAACAGTGTACCTAGACGTGTCTTATGAGTTTTATATCTAATGTTGATGGTAAAATAGTGCTACCTCGGCATGCACCTCTCTGCCATGAGTTAATTTAAAAGAAAATATGTTTTATCCCAAATCTTTATCATAACCCTGTCTCAGAACATGCCTCATGCATCAGACAGCGTATTCATGACCGTGGCCTGTAATAACCTTCTGTGATGTACCTTTTAGAGGCATTAAATGCTACAGATGTCTGGTTCCCATCACCACTACTGTGAATAATTCTAAGTAAGTTTCTCTAAAACCACTCTGGGTAACTTTGATGTTTACATTTTTAATGTAGAAAATTTTAAATATTGGAGGAATTCCCCTTCAACCAACTCAGACCCAAAGGGCCAATCATGACAGTACAAATGAAGTTTTTGAACATTCCTATGTTCTCTGTTTCAAAAAAGAGGTGATATTAATTCAGCCTTAAAAGCAACAAAATGGGTTCACTATAATAAAATATTTTTACCATGCGTGCTAATATTACTAGTCATCCATGAAAGCCACCAATTTAGCATTACATAATTTTTTATATTCTCTTTCATTCAATGCTGTCAACATTAGCATTTCTGGCTGAAACAGTCCTTTAGGTCAACTTTAAATCAATACGGAGCCAATTCAAACCCAAACAGCTATTTTTTTGTTGTTGTTTTTTTTAAACATTCATATATGTTCTATATATACTGACTGACTGACTGAACCGGTGTTTTAAACTACTTATGGATGATTTATTGTGTGAGCTATATATACACCTTACTTTTTAAAGGCTAAAGGAAATACAGCATATTCAAAAACTTCATTGTAAGGATTCATAACAAGCACCTTTAGTAACACTTTGGGTTGGTTGACACATTGTGTTGGTATGTACCAATGGTGAAACATAACTGTTAAGTAAGGTCTTCTGTTTGGGCTGTGAACACCAAGGCCCAGTCCCATTTCTTCTTTTAACCCCTACCCCTTGTTTTCGAGTGTCACCTTAACCCCTTGGAACTGAGTTACAAGCGGTAGTGGTTGAAATCTTCCCTCTGAAATGAGACCCTCAAATAAAAACATTACTTCATTAACAGCTACCAGCGCTGCTCTGTAGGCGACCCTGCCAGTCTGCAGTGACAGCAGAGGAGGGTAAAGTTCAGCTCCTCACTGCTGGGCTTTAGTTACACTAAGGGCATCTAAAAGGGGGTATAAGACAATTATTTATTATCACCCACCCCTAATTCTTCAGTGATATGAAGCTGAAGTCAGATATTCACCAGCTTCTTGTTTGAATTTTCCCATTCCACCTTAAATGGAGCAGCAGGTACATTCTGCATACATTCAGGCGTCAGAACTGCTGGACTATTTAAGGTGGAACGGGAAACTTAGCTAGCTAGCTACCGAGACGTTAGCATGCTATTAGGGATTTTTTATGCTTGTTATGAAGAAAATGACCATAATACATTGAAACAACATTAAACTAAGATAATATGGTGGTTATAGTAATTTATAACAGAGAAAATTCTCACATTTGTGGGTTTCTTTGGTCTCTTGTTCAGCCATCTTGCCGGTTTTTCTTTTTTTCTCATAACACTCCATTTGGAGGGCCATGTAGCCCTAACACTTCACCCTACCCCTCTACCTTAACAAGAATCGGGACTCCCTAACCCTAGACGTGAACACACAAAACAGAGGGCTAAGGGCTAAGTGGTAGGGGCGAGGGGTGAAATAGGATTGGGCCCAAAACTTGGACAAAAATGAGGGAAAAGCTCCTCTACAACAATGCTAACTTCTGTTCGCGCCCCTATGGAATTCCACTAGCTAATGCTAAGCTAATGTTTATTCACACGACTGACTGTTCTAGATTAAATGTGGACATTTGAAGCTGGAAAAAGACATTTTATGATTTCTTTGCAGATGGTAACAGCCTTATTAACACATATTTTACCTTGTAGCAGTTTTACGGTGACTCCTTCTGTAAAGAGCCCTGACAGAGAACTGTCACCGCTATTTATTATTAACATCTGGCTAGAATGCTATATACAGAGGGCCTAAAAAGATGTTTTTTTTCTTCCACAATTGGCCCCATCCACTGGAAATCAAAGTATGATTGGGTGATTCCACTGTTGGTTTTAAATTGTTAGTGCTTGTTTAGACACATTAGGCCTTCAGTTTGGCTCCTGAAGTCCTAACCATTGGGACAGCTTGCTTGCCTGTGTCTACAGCTAATTTCACAGAAATTATTAGGCCTTCCCTGAAGGTTTAGAAGACCTTGAAGGCTCCCCAGTAGTATGTATGTAGGTCATATAAGGTTGTTTTAAGGTAACAGCTACTGTTATGTTTAAAATAACTGTGGACAACACTGGGATCTTATGGTCTACAAGTAAACTATGCTACGCACCCTGAATCATCAGTGAAGTTGGAATATATATCGATCCCATCCTTCTGCCACAGAATTTCCAGGTCTTCTCTGAGCGACTGGTCAAAATCCACCTGGCACTCAAGCTCTGCCGTGGAGCCTCTCCTGACCTCCATGTCTTGGGGAGGGACAACAATTCTGGTCGGCTCTGTCATGGAAAGATGCTATTTTTCACAACACATCTCAGAGAATTACAGGAAGAAGAGCAAAGAAAGGACATTACTGAAAGAGCATCTCTGACCTTTTACATAAAGCTCTGCACTGATGCTTGCAGTGCCCTCTGAGTTTGTAGCGTAGCACATATATTTGCCCATGTCTTCCACCTCAGCTGTGTGGGTCTGCAGCGAGCCGTTTTTATGGAGAGAGAACCTCTCCTCTTCCACTGAGCCCTCTGGGTCTTCTCTTCTCCTGCAAAACAAACACTCAGCTGCTCACTGTTTTCCTAAGACTGCAGCCCTGGGGAACAACCTAGTTTTAAAGTTTTAGCTTATTGGAGTCTGAGGTGCATTTTGGTCAAACGGATAGAATTTGAAAAATGCCTCAGTTTGTGCCACAGGAAAAAAAAAAAACTGCCCCTCGCTGCTTCCTGCTGAATCCCGAGGGTGACTATGAAGAACTATGAACACCTGCAGAGCTCGGGGAGGTGAATAAGGCTGGAAACACTGGTCAGATTTACCAGAGCTGACCTGTTAAAGTGTTTTAAATAATGAGGAGTACTTTAAACTAGTGTTATAGTACTCAAGCCTTGTAAATGAATCTGGGCATCTTTTGGACTCAGTCTTGTTAGAAAACCTCTTCTATTATTGAATATCAAAAAAATCTTCAAACAGAATAATTTCTCTCCATGTTTGAACAGAATCTGTCTGCTGCCAGTTGAGGCTCTTATTGATCCTTTCCATTATGGATTGATTGGGTATTCTTTGTTTGTTGATGTTCATTGGTTTCAAAATCCAAACATTCCTGAGGGCCATTCTACTGTATGAGTTCAAACAGTGGTCCCACACAAAAGAACAGTGAAAAAAAAAATGATACATACATACACACCTATATAAATAAATATATATATATATATATATATATATATATATATATATAAATATATATATATATATATATATATATATATATGGCTGTTGTCAGAAGAAAACCTTTTGACGTTTTTCAGTTTTTGACATAATTTACAAGAATATCTGTTACCCTTTACATTGTTCGTAAATTTCATGATGAATGGACCAAAAGAAATCAGCTAAAATGACTTGGAAAAAAGTCTGGTTCCATTGACTTACATTAACAGTAAAGTAAAGTATGTTTTATCTTTCTCCTGTAAAGTTACCATTTTGGAGATATGAGGTTTTCTTCAGACAACAGCGATATATATATATATATATATATATATATATATGTAGTGTACTTTATATTAGGAGGTGTCTGTCCCCTAAATTTACACTTGTGCAAAAAAAAAAAAAATTATTATTTCTTTTGAACTGAAGTTTAATTTTTAAATTAAAACTTCATTGAAAAAATTATGTCCCACATTTTTGTGTCACCACCGAAATACAAAGAGTTTAAGTCCATAGATGGAGATGTATTTTAGCCATGCCCCTGCAGAGCAGGAAGTGAGGCTGCATTCCTGTCCCTTATGACCACATAGTGAGTTTAGATCCCAGTGTTTTTAAGTAAAGGTGTCCTAAAGTCTGACAATCAGGGCATAACATGAACTGTCACTGCTAAACAAACCAAAACTGCAATTAAGTAACCTTTTAGTGTTTTAAAGAAAAATATTATGATAGTATATGTTTACCTGGCTGCATTTCTGAGCTCAAAATGAGCTAAAACAGTCATTACTGAAACATTTGGTAAAGTTTTTGTAGTCTTATGATTTCAACTCACTCAGTGGAATAGTCTGTTTGTTTATATTTTTATTATATTTTTTATTCTATATTATATGTTATATATTATTTATAGTCTATACTGGTTTATATTTAAGTAGGAGTAAGACAAAAAATTAATAATATTTTACATTTCTTATTTACTGTTATATTTTACAAAATATGTTATAAACTATTTCATTATATTCATTAATATACATTATGTACAATGAATGATAATTAATGTACAATTAACTACAATTTTTTTTTTTCTCTTTTCTTCTTTTTATTTTAGATTCTGAAAAAATCTTAATCCGTTCTCTCTCAGACTCGACTACTACAAAGTATATGACCTGACTCTGGCTCCATGTCTCCAGGTCTTAGTCCCGACTCGGACTCGCCTCCAGTAGCCTCAATTACAGCAGTACTTTGAACTCAAAGTAAACTGAGTGTCAAAAGATCAGAGTGATGTGATCTCTGAAAATGGGAATGATTTGTGTGGAAGTTAAGTCTTGTAATAATGGTTTCATCACTGTCACATTTAAGAGGTTGAATAGGCATTAAAATAGCTGACTGTTTACCCTAATATAGAGCTCAAAAAAGCTTCTGTCAGAGCAATAGAATATTGTTTTAATACAATTACAATCATGGAGACTGGATAAAAGTAAAGAGATAATAAGCATCCTGAGATTAGTTTCCCTGGAGACGATGTGTGACTGTCTGTTTCATTTTCCCCACAGTTTCAGTTTCACTATTATGGAAAACATTAAAACCATTACATCATTGATTATTTTATTCATTTGTTCGTAAACTTATTTGATTATTCTATTTGTTTGAACACTGGTGGAGAACTGGAGCATGGTTTAAACTTTTGTTTGTTTTGTTTTGTTTGTTCCCGAAACTTCAGGGAACCTGAGGAAACCTTGTTTGATTATAAAGGTCTGATCTCTTTTTTGCCTTTAGCCAAAAAAAGGTTCTCATTTTTCTGTTTCCCTGTTTAATGTTCAAAGGTTCTGTTCAGAGGCTTTCTTTCCTTCTTTTGTCTTTGCTGCGCTACAGCTAAGCTTTTATAACTGTTTTCTACTCATCAGTGTCAAGAACAGTTTGTAAAGCTGAAGCTCAGGTGCGATGAGTTAATGCGAGTGGAGAGGCTCATGAGTGTAACAGTGATCACGCTGAGAGACAGTCAGTCCATTTTTCAGCAGCTGTAAGCGCCGTATTAAAGGAACAGGACAGTTTGCAGTGCTGTGTTGTACCGAACGGCACAGCTCCAGAATTAATAACCATCTGAAAGTACAGTATAGCCATTTGGCCTGAGTGCACTGATACCTCAGGAAAGTCTAATGTCTATTACATAATAGATAGTTTTGCTTCTAAAATCTGATTGGCTGAACCATGTTTGAAGCTGTGTATGTAAACCTCTTATTTCCATAATAGTAACTTTACAGGAGACGGAAAAAAACCTACTTTACTTTTAATGTAAGTCAATGGAACCAGACTTTTTTACAAGAAATTTATATATATATATATATATATATATATATATATATATATGTATATATATATATATATATATATATATATATATATAGATTAAGATCAAGTGACCCTTATCAGTACCACAATGGGGAAATTCACCTCCGCATTTAACCCATCCGTGCAATGAAACACCACATACACACTAGTGAACACACACACTAGGGGGCATTGAGCAGCCCTATCCACAGCACCCAGTGAATAGTTGGGGGTTAGGTGTCTTGCTCAAGGGCATTTCAGTCACGTACTGTCGGCTCAGGGGATTGAACCAGCGACCTTCCGGTCACAGGGCTGGTTCCCTGGCCTCCAGCCCATGACTGCCCCAATATATACATGCCCCAATATATATATATACACACACACGCACAAGCACACACACACACACACACACACACACACACACACACACACACACACACACTCATATGCAAATATTGGAACAAATCAAATCGCATGTTTTGTTGATTTTCTATAACTATGTTACGGATTTTTAAGTAATATATAAACATTGCCAAAGTTTCAACATATATCATTCACTGCCCTGTCCATACAGTCCATATATGAAAAATACGTTTCAAAAACAGCCAGTTTTGAATTCAGTGATTTTGTCATAAAAAACCACCTCATTTACATTTACACCTATTCAGCCTACGGTAGTTTAGCTCCACCCATTCATATTGAACGCTAGGAAGTGTTTCAGCCTGGACTGCTTTTTGAATGAAGCGCCATACAGGGCAGCCGATCAGAACAGAGCTCATTTATAGTATAACAGTCGTAATGGAACAGTAACTGAAGCAGTTTGTATCAGTATTGGCGATAACACACTCCTCCAGTGTTCTATTGCTTTTATACAACAGTTAAATAAATAAAGTAATAAATTCATAAACTGGGCCGTGAACGCGGCGTTTAATATGTTTTAATGTTCGCAGTTCCTTCACCAAATTATAGTTCCTTAATGAGCAGCTTGTTGCTACGTCAGAGTAACGAGCTCCGCCCACTCGCTGCACAGCCGGCAGTACGTTCTCCAGCTCCACACAGACCAACTGACAGTTTGGGAATTTAGTGTCGTCTCATCTTCAGAGTCTGACCAAATCGGCTGTCGGTCAAATGTGATCTTAAAAGTGTCCATTTTCTGTTTGTGGCAAAGTAAGAAGTAAAAACGTTCAAATGGCTTGAGCGTCTCCTACAGCTGTCAAATTCGTTGCTTAGCAACGGCGTCTCACTGGAGTGATACAGTGTTTGTGAAAAACCTGTGATGTTATGGTGAAATAACAGCACAGTTAGAACACTTCTCAACCAATCAGCTTGCGTGGCCAAAACTAACTGTTGTATAAAGTGAGTTATAATGTGTTATAATTATTCCACATTGCATTGTAATACACAGCCTCTTGCTTATTGCACTACTGTCTACATAAGGTGGCCTGTTTACATTGGGTTTTTTACATTTTTGTTTTCTTATTAATCAGTAGTCCTCTGAAACCAATAGACTATGTTTAATATGATCAATAGGAGTTAACGATAATTAAATGGTTAAATGCTTTTACCCAATCAGAAGCCAGTTTGAACAATTTCAGCTTTTGTTTATTTTTGTGGAGAACTTGACTTAAACTTTTGTTGATTGTTTTTTCTTTTTGTCGCATCTGAAACTTCAGGGAACCTGAGGAAAACTTGCATGACTTAGGGTTTGTTTATGAAAGTCTGATCTCATATTTGCCTTTAGCCAAAAACGCGTCTTAGTTTTCTGTTTCCCTTTTTATGTTTAAACATTCAGAGGCTTTTCACTCTTTTGTCTTATGTCCTTTGTCAGTGGTGGTGAAGGGAACCAGACGTCTAAAGAGTTTAATGCCTCTAAAAGCTTCCTCAGATTACAGTGCTTGCTGCCAGAGACACTGATTTACAATAGTTTTGTCCTAATATTTATGGTGGAGAGGTACATGCAGGGTGTTATAAGGCAGAATAGTCCTCAAAGAAAACTTTTTTTTTTCAGATTTATCACTGTGTTACCATTATCAGCATTACACATAAAACTTGGACGACGTGTAGGTTCACTGATTGTTTTGGATAATAAATAAAATGGTTATTTGTGTTCCGGACATTGTGACCCCTGGTTCCTATCACCACCACTGTAAAGGGATCTGAGCTAGTAAGTTTCACCACATTGAACCAATTCACATCAAACCACTCTGAATGACTTAGCTTACATCTCAGCTGCTGAACTACGCAGAAGTTTTGAAAATTGTTGGATTTTTTGAAAATTGTTGGAATTTTTTAAGTTCTTAGTTGTGTGTTTTGACTGACGGGAAAACTTTCTTCAGATATGTGCTCAGGCAAGAACATACGGGTCAAAGGAAACTGATGACATGAATGATATACACATTAATGGGATAACTACAAAAGCAGACTATAGAGTTATGAAAGAATTTGCTAAAAAGAAGCAACTCAGGGATGCTAAATCAATCAAACTACAGTGAAATGTTTTTCTTGACCTTCTAATAACTTTAAATCTTCTGGACAAAAACACTTAGATCAGTGCTGGTGCAACGTCAGTTGTCAATGAGATCAAATATGAAAATTCATATATATGAAGTTCAGATGCCGGTGCTTCGTTTGAATGGCAATTACAAGTCAAGAATTAATAATTAGCTGAGTTTGATATGTAAATTAAGCATCCCCTGAGGCTTGTTAATCACTTTAGACTAAGTCGCTCAAAGCTCTGATGAACATTAAGAGCTAAAAACAAGACACAGATGAACTGGTCAACTTATTAGAGCATCAAACTGACCAGTGGACAGTAGCAGGTGGAGAACTAAAGACTCTGCAGTCCATCGTCACACCCTTCCCTCGGACCGTGGCATACTCCAGATAATCCCGCGTCAGAATCAAAGGCGGATGATCTTGGATGAAGCAGACACCATTAGTCATTTATGCAAGTGGATGAACATCAAACAGCAGCGGCGGCATATGGACCACTTTCAGCCGAGCGGTTTGAAAGCAGGCCATGCAAGACGCAGTCAGTTCCACAATTAAGTGCTGAGAAAGCTATTAACATATAAAAGAGCGTCGATGTGCTGCGAGCAGTGAACAAGACGGAAAGCAACAAAACACTCTGTAGCAAGGGGTCTTATTCACACACGGCTGCTCTCTCCCAGCAAGTTATACTACTTTCATGTCTGCTGCAAATGAACAGCTGCTCAGACCCTTGTGCAATTATATGTCAGCATAAACATTATATTGTAATGAAAGCAGAGACGACTTGATGAAAACGCTTGTTACGAAAACTAGAAATGACACTAGTTACATACTAACCGTATTGATGTTAGTTGATGTTTACATTAAACATTATACAGTTGTATGCAAATGTTTAGGCAGCTCTGGACAAATAAATGTTTTGTTGATTTTCACACATCCTCTATAGAGAACTGTACACTTCTGTAAATTTTGATATACAACTGTTGTTTATTTGCTAAATTTAATATAATAGAAAAACATTAAATAATGCAAGTTTTCTGATTTTTTAATATGTTAGACTCAGCAAATAAAGCTGCGCACTAAAATTTGCAGAAAACTGCCATTTTTAAGTTTGTCTCCTATAGAGGATGTGCTAACTTATAAAAAAAAATAAACAAAAAGTAATTTAACCAGGGGTGCTCAAACTTTTGCATCCAACTGTAAACTTGTGGGCTTCTCCTACAAGTACACCAAATTAGTATCATACCATAGAGGTGCTACAATTACAGATCTGCTCCTATGCATCATTTGTCATCCCCCTTTGCCCTGTTCTTCAGTGGTCAGGACACCACAGGACGACCACTGAGCAGCTATTATTTGGGTGGATCTTTCTCAGCACAGCAGTGACACTGACATGATAGTGACATGTTAGTGTTGCACAGAGTGGATTCTTTGCTCAAGCCCCTCCTTTTATCTCAAAATTAATAGTACCCTTTGTGGCTCTAAATTACGGATCCCTGTCAGTGACATTCCATATTAATAAGAATAATGCACTGTATTAACGTGTGGGAATGACATCTTAATGCGTGGTCACGTCTTAGTAAGGTATAGGAACGAGATCATGCCTTATTAAGTGGTGTTCAAGGCTTTATTATCTCATTCTCACGCCTTACTAAGTCATGGCCACGGATTGTTTTTTATACATTATATACATATATATCATATAGTTTTAAAGTTATGTTATATAGTTATGCAAAAGGTATAACTATTCCTGGAGGTCAGACGTAATTTGATTGCATCCGTAAATTTACAAAAGGGCTTTAAAAACCAGCCTGTTTGCACAGTGTTGCTCATGTCTAAACTTTTTTGGCCAGACACTTTCGGTTTATATCAAAGGAAGCTTATCTGTCCTGCTTTAACCCTTGTGTGGTGTTCATTGTTCACTGTTACTCAGTGGTCTGGTGGACCCACTGCAGTATTGTTTTTCTAAATCAATACAGCCATAACAACTTATGTAAAAATACCAGATGTTTAAAATGTCACAAGTGTCCAGCGTAGGGTTCTCCTTTAGCCACTGTAGCCATTGAAAAGGTGTTATTTTATATGCTCTTCACAGAAAATGAGGAAAGGCCAAGGAATCTGGGGTTGAAGTAATTATAAATTGCATCATTTTTTCTTTTGGGTCCCACAGACCTGAACACCACACAAGGGTTAAAATACGAAGTAATGCAAGCCTAAATTTTATAGCGCTCTTATTTGTTATGTATGGCAATAAAAGCAATGTACCACCAGAAAAATAATACCCATAGCAGTTCTTACCACTGAAGAACAGGGTAAAAAGGGCTAACAAATTACACAGGAAAGCAGATGGACTACAGTCTGTTATTGTGGAACTACAAAGTGCACTTATATGCTAAATGGACCTGATAAAATAGGTAAAAATCGTAGATACAAGGTCGGTGTTTCTAAAAAAGGGTTCAGTACGATTACATTCTACATTATATTCTATGTCATTAATGTGTGTAATTCACACAATAGCTTAATGCAAGTAAATGCAATTATAATATATATATATATATATATATATATATATATATATATATATATATATATATATATAAACCCCTTAAATGCCCAGGTCCCACCAGGAGGCCAGGCTTCCATTCTTCACTCCTATAACTGAGACCATTTGCATTACTTTCCACATAATACACCTGATTATTTAAGAGGTTAATAGGTAGTATGACAGTGCTTATTCATTACTTCTTAAGACTGTGCCAAACTGTAAGTACTGCAAGCTACTGCTACTCACTCATGACCATGACGTTGGCGGTGGCCAGTAGGGTGCCATGTGTGTTGGAGGCTTCACACTGGTAGACCGCAGTGTCATTTGGTAGTGCTCTAAGAAGGATAAGGGTGTCGTCCTGTACTTTGCTATGGAGTGAGGAGAACTCTGGGGAGGAAAGATTTATGTTGGTTAGACTTAATATACTGTACTATACTGTATACTACATACTACACACTATTATTGGAGTACAGAAAGTGAAGAAATTCCAGCATTACATAGTTTTCACAGGAACTGTGATGTTACACAACTGGATTAGAGGCTTAACTTTGCCAGTTAATGAATGTACTTGGTTTAATATACACAGAAAATTCCACATTTGTTGTGCATAATTAAATAGGATGACAAATGACAGCAAAAACACAATAAAATAATGCATAAAGTCATTATTATAAAATTATTATAAAAATTATAATGTTGTGGTTCATTGGAAACTGTGTAAAACTGTTCCTGGAGGGCAGAAATAGTTTGGTTGTGTCAGTAAATTAACACATCTGATTAAAAAATACACGTCTATTTGCACAGTGCTGCAGTTTCTAATGCTCAAATATTTTTCCGCAGAAATTTCCGTTAATGTCAGGGTTAGCATAGCTTAAATTTCACAATGCACAAGACTGTAAAGTCTTATTTGTTGTATATGGCAATAAAAGAGATGTCATCACAAAATGTCTTGCAAAAGTAATGTTGTTTGATACTAAAATCAACATGACGTGTGTTAAGAGAAACCTCTAGGTTTCTCGAAGAATAATGAGGCTTCAAGCATTTTAAATTAGAGCTGCAGTCGTATTTGGGTGCCATGTACCCAAATAAAAAGTCTGAGTTACATTACATTGTCACTGGAATTATATAATAAGACATTTATTAGGATTAGATCTGTTTTTGGTTTCTGGATCAATTATAAAAATGATCATAGTGGTCTGTTGTTTCTACTGGTCAGTCACAGTAATTTAATCCCCTTTAAGTATTACTGCTTTACAATCCTGCAGTTGCATGCAAAGGTTTAGGCACACCTGTTCAAATGACGTGTTGTTGACATTCAAAGTGAAAATACGTTACACATCCTCCACACAGAACACACTTCTGCACATTTTGATGCATGAGTACTGTTTATTTGTTAAATTATATATATTGGGAAAAAAATAAAACATTAAAATGTGGCCTGTGTTACATACTATTTCATGCTTTTTCCCCAACATTTCCAAACTTGTGCAGCAAAATTTGCAAAAAAAAAAAAGCCATATTTAAGTTTGTTCACTTATTTTCACTTAGAAAATCTACAAAACATGTAAATTGCCTGTTCAAGCTATCGCATGTGACTGTTTAGGTCTATCATAACAATTCCTTTCATTTAATATGTAGCATTAATCTTTAGAGCCTTAATCTGGGCTTAAGAACACACAAGATGCAGCCCCAGATGTCCCTCTTGAAGGAATAGGTTTGGCGCAAGCTGTTTGCCTCAGATTCAAAGGCAGAACTCTAGACTACACAAACCACTGATCCGAAGAACTGACCCAATGAAACGAAGAACACATTTTAAAATTGCAAAAAGTTTGGTGTCATTTGAAGCCAGTGGAGTCAAAAACTCACACTGGGTGTCCTATTACAGTTGGTATTAGCAAAAGAAGTATTAAAAATGTGATATCTTCAAGAATCAATTACAAAAATTTTACATTTATTATAAAGAAAAAGCTCTTCAATTAGCAAAATTGGTACACAGTGTGCAGGAAGTTGAAAGATGTCAGATTCTATTAAGGACGAGGTCAGAGCTTTGTGTTGGGTTTAACTCACCATGGAGAGGTTTGCCGTTCCTCAGCCAGGTGACAGTGGGTTGTGGCTTCCCTGCAGCATGACACTTAATGTGGACATCAGATCCAATCGTCACTACCTGACTCCTCACAGGCTCTTCTATCCAGCGTGGAGGCTCTGAGAAACAGGAGGGGTGTGTGAGGTACTATTTATGACACTGTCCCAACTAGAGCAACACTGCCATCCTGTGTATGTCAAAGAAACTGTGTAGAAACTACAGAAGAATGTTTTAGACAAAACTGCTCCAGATGGAATTCAATACAATAAATATAATACAATAAAATAAGTCAAATCAAGTGCTTTTAGATATAGTAGAGTACATTATATATCAGAGGTGACAAACTTAACCACTAAAAGAGCCATATTAAAAAATCTCAGCAAATCTGTGGGCCAGCTGTGTTTTTATTTCATTTTTAACTAACATTCGCCACGACCCGAACAAGCCAAATGTGGCAAAACCACAACAGCAAAATAGGCATTGAATACTTATTCCAAAATAATTCTAAATAAAAATAAGGGTAACACTTTCTATGAATGTCACCTTTGTAAGCATCTATAAACACATTCATAACATGTTGTAATGCATTCATAAGACATTATAAACATGGCTATAAATATTTAGAAAAATGCATTATAGGTTATAGCCATGTTTATTATGCATTATGAATTGTTAACATAATACATTATAAGTACTGTTCATAACAAATTATAAGAGCTCATAAGTCGTATTTGTCCGCTCTAAGTAAAGTGAAGCGTACTGTACTAAAGCCTCCTCCAGTGTTCAGAGTGAGGCTTCAAGTTGAAGTATTTACTGAAGGATTTACTGAAACACTAAAACATTCACAGTAAAGCACATTACAGGCCTCAAATGTCAGAGTTTAAACTAGAGCTGCCATCAGTGTTTTACCCAATGTGGGAAAGGTAATGTTCACCACCGTTAGCTTGGTATTTGTCTTTACTTTACGCTCTCCAAGCTGGGACTGACTTCTTTGGCACTGACATTATAACATGTTATTAACACTATTTATAATGCATTATATTAACAATTCATAATGTATAATAAACATGGCTATAAAGTGTAATTCAGTGTAATTCTTTTTTATAAATATTTATAACCATGTTTATAATGCCTTATGAATACATTATAACAATAATATATATGTGTTTATAGATGCTTACAAATGCGACATTCATAGAAAGTGTTACCAAAATAAGTTGTTTTAGGTATCTTTTTTGTTTAAACTGCTTTGTTGCAGAGCATGCTGGGGACTGTAGTGCATCTCAGAATAAAAAATTAAAATAATTCTGTGGGCCGAATAGGCCTGTGACACGGGCCTAACTTGGCCCGCGGGCCTTGTGACTGACACATGGGTTATATACAATGCCCTGTGAAAGTATTCAACTCCTTGAAAGTAGGGATGCACCAATATTGAAATTACGGGCCAACGTCCATATTTTTTATTTCCATAAGTCCTGAAATCGATACTGATACATCATGATTTATAAAATGTGGAAATTGGATCCACATCTGCCTATATTAGCATTACAGAGAAATATGACAATTTTAGTGCAGACATTTTATTTATTTGCTGAATTTAAGAATTTGGAAAAAATATATGAAAGATAAATTATGATATTAACCAATAATATCATGTCTCACTTCTCAATCCAACCCCAGCTATCATTGAGCACTCAACTAATTCAGAGATCCTGTCTGATACAGTGTTTCACTCAGTAAAACATGATATAAATGAAAATATATTACAATGTTCCATTCATGATTACTTGAATCGAATAATGTCAAACATGTTGTTTATATTGAACTAAATGACTGCAAACCTTCAACTTCAACGTGAAAGTAGTGGACAGTTTCACCAACAGAGTTCTTAGCCTTGCACATGTATTTCCCACTGTCTTCTTCTGTGACTTTTGATATAGTCAGCAGTTTCCCATAATTCTTGATGTTGGAACGTTTTGGCAACTTCTCTCCCAGCTTGGTCCATTCTATCTTTGGTGTGGGGCTAAAATAAAGAAAGCATTGCATGTTTTTAAGCTTACAGAAACATGGCATCACGTGTCTGAGAATAATGCTAAGACAATATTTTACTATTTTATAGGCAGTACTGAGCAAAAGCCAGAAGCCCACCTTTCATTTTTTTAATTTCCACTCAAAACAGCCATTAAGTACAAGTTATTCATTTTTCAGCATAGAAAAAATAGCAGAAAACATATTTCTAACAGAAAATTACACAGAAGCCTCAACAACTAAATATAATAAATTTTAATTTTTTTTAACATTTTTTTGGTATTGTGTGTCCACACGTTGCCTGTATTACAGCTTCTAAACTTTTCAGGTCACTTAAAACCAGTTTTTCAAAGAAATCTGCAGGGATATTTTTCCTAAACCTCCAAAGTTCAGCCTTAGAAGTTGGTTGCATTTTCTGCTTCTCATAGTCAAAGTAAGCCCAAATACAAATTTAGTCTCATCAGTCCACAAAACCTTAATTTTTGTCTGTCAATTTCTCAGGAAAGGCTTCTTGGCAGCTACTCATCCTTTCAGACCCATAGTGTTGAGAATCTCCTCAGAAATATCTCCTTTAGCCATTTTAGATGCATGTGACAAATCTGGCAGCTGAGGTGTGTCTGGGTAGTTACTTGTGTGAATGTTAGTGTCTCTTTGAAGGGGAACATAATGTGAGTGACTCCTTTGGGAACACTTTTTTGGTAACACTTTATTTGAAGTAGTCCTTTGTAGATGATTAATAAACTCTTAACAGATTATCAGTAACACAACAACAACATATCACTGCAGTAGCAGTAGTGAAGCATCTAAATACACTATAGTAAATATCCTGTAGATGTTCTGTTGATACATTACTTACATTTAGTAGATGAATTGTTAATATGTTATTTTCATTACCCTAAACCTAACCTTACCAACCTTACCCAAAACCTAACCCTCACCCTGGACCTAACCCTAACCATAACCTTAATCTCAACCCAAAACCTAATCCTAACCCTCACCCTGGACCTAATCCTTACTCTAATCTTAACCCAAAACCTAATCCTAACCCTCATATGTTTTGAGTCTGTTGAGTGTTTGTTTCATCTAAAAAGACACTCAAAATAAAGGTTTTAATAAATAAATAAATGGTTTTAAGATCAGAAGGACGGCAGAGTTAAAGTGACAGTGCGGTGCACAAGTAAAGAGTGGACACATTAAATAATGATAGATTTGATGCTTTTTTGAAACTGAAAAATGAATAACTCTGTCTGGAAAGTAAATTATTTTTGACTGGTAAATAGATAAACTAAAGGGTAATCTACACTGTACTATATTACATTAAATATTTGAATATTTTAGTAGCAGCAGCAAAAGTATAAACTTACAATCCCTCTGAAATACACTCAAGCTCGAGCTCTTCACCTTTCACTAGGTTTATTTGGGACTGATCACCAGGGGGCACCAGAAGGTTTGGTTTCCTCTCCAAACCTGAGATGACAAATGCAAGCGTCATTACATAACTCACGATTTAAACCATTCAGATATTTTCAAAACATCTATAGTAAAATAAAAACAAACAGAAGTATAAACTTTGACTCACCACTGACTTCTGATTTACTGCTAGAGTTTACTGGAGAGACAGAAGGCACCAAAAAAGTTAAGTGCTTTCTGTTTAAGACCACACAAAACAAATGTATCTGTGTCTATATTTCAAAGGGTAGTTGAAGTAAATACATACGGGGCATCACGGTGATAGCCATGGCGGTTTTCTGCACGATGGTGCGAATCGTACTGAAGGAAGCGAAACAGCAGTAGTCGCTGCGGCTGTCCTTCACCAGAGTGTTTGAGAAGTAGAGGTTTCCATTCAGGCCCATAGATACCCTTTCATCCTGCTCAATGTGCTGAAGACCTGGGAACAATACCAAGGGGCCAGTTAGCTCCACATGAGCACCCAGAGCCACTAATAAGGCAATCTTTCAAAAAGCTCAAACTTCATTGTGGGGAAACCAGCAGTAAGTGTCCACTATTATAGTCTCCAGGCCTCAAACCATGCAGTGCTGTTTTGCCATAGAGATTTCCACCTTTGAGCAGTTACATGTCTGCATTTCAGAGTAAATTAAGCTTCATTTGAAAATTTGTAAACTATATTTGAAGGAAAATTCCACTGAGTTTTCCAAATTTCTGCACAGCTCAATAATTGAGATGTAAAGACAGTCATTCAGAGTGGTCTGATGTGAAATGGTTCTTTGTAGAGAAAATTTCAAGCTCAGAGCGGAGGTGATAGAAACCAAGGGTCACAATGTCTAATATTACTATTATTAGTTGTATTTACTCTCCAGAATGACCAGTGAACATATATAAAATAAAGTAAATCTGAAAAAATAAGTCTTTTTTTGGTACTACTTTGCCTTACATAAAATTTAAATGGGTCATTCTACAGAAACGTCCACTTTTCTATCTGTCCATAGGAGTCACTGGTGTTACCAGTCTGTAGTGGTCTTACACATAATAAAGGAAACACCAGAGACATTTTTAATGAACAATGCATTTTACTAAACGGCTGCTGCAGAGCATCAAACCACATGTTGTCAATCATGGAATATCCACTAAAATATGTAATTTAATCCATTTGTATTCTATTTTTTCACAATTGCCTCAGAATAAAGTCGGTCACACCAGTGACTTCAGCTAAAAGCTTCATATGAAATCATGAGCTAAATGAGAAAATCTCTGATAACTGAAAGACACAGTGGACTCACCATGGGCTTTTCTTCATAGATCCTCAGAAAACAGGTAAAAGGAAGTCGAGTGATGTCATCAGTGTGATTTTTATTTCAAAATAAGAGATTTTTTGTTACGCAGTAACACCAGTGACTCGACTCCTGGGGAAATTTCATTATATATTTTATAATATTTATTTGGCATTTGTTTTCTTTATGTCATTTAAATAATATATTTCATAGTCATGTATAGATTATTGTAGTTAAAATTGCAGAAAAACATGTTTTTTTCTTCAAAATATGGCCTCAGCCTTCACACATGACTGTGAGGACGAGCTCTTCTGTGGTGCTTGGAGTTCGAGATGATGGATTTAAAAACCAATATTGCTAAATTGAGGCTCAAGAAGGTGTAATTGTTAAAATAACTTATTGTTTTATTTTAAAATATAAATAAATTGTAACCCTAACATGTTTTTCAAGTGTAATATATCTGTAAATGCTAGGGACACAAAACTGGACGTTTCCATAGAATGACCCATATACCTCTCTGCTGTGTGTGTAGTTAAAAACATATATTTTAGGCCACTATTGTAAAACAATATATTGTAAGGCAATATGTATCTACTTCATGTAGTAAGTAGTAGAGGCAGCTTTTGGAGGTATTAAACACTTCAGACATCTAGTTACTATCACCACCCCTGAGTTTCTCTAGAACGGATCATTTTACATCAAACCACAACTTTAACCCTCCCGAAAGTCAGAGGTGCAGATCTGAAGCTGTCACTGCAGAACATAAATCGAATGACGATGTTATTCATTCAAAATTATGTATTTATGTAATTACATTTTAAAGCATTAAGCTACAAGAGGGCACGTATTACAATGATTTTACCACTGGAAAAGGGTTTAGTTAGCAGCTTTATTAAATGGCATCAACATGTAATATGATAAAGTATGCAAGTGTTCAATAAATAATGTAATGTATTATTAATACTAATAGCAAAACCATTTCACCAGGAAAGAAACAAGCAAACACAGTGCAAAGGTAACTTAATGTGGCCACAACGTTCATTAATGTTCAGTTTACTAAGCCTGTAGCTAATCATGTGAAAGTGCACACAGCATCGCCTAGTAAATGCTTGTGGTTGAAAAGTGCAGGGTTTAAAAGACGCAGTGAAATAGTGAAGCTGTCAACAAGCCAGAAATAAAAAGAGAAAATGAAAGTTCAGTGATGAAGAGATAGCTGTGTTATTAAAAGGAGTTCTTTCCCACAGATACATTCTACAGGGCTGTAACTGCAATAATCTTATTACTCAAGCGGTCATGTAAAAACTTCAGCTCAAAAAACAGAATTTGGGGAGCAACAACATGAAATGTGAGCGAATATTGCAGCCATATCAATTTTGCACTGCACCTTCTCATATACAGAAAACAAGCAAAGGCCAAGGAATCTGAGGTTTGAAATAATAATAAAAAAAGCTTAATTTTTAATTTTGGTAAAGACTGAAAATGGGTCCCACAGACCTCAACACCACATAATGGTTAAATATTTGAGCAAGGCTAAGTTTTATAAAGGTAGGAGAAAGCATGGTCCCTATAGTCTCTCAATGCATGCGCTTACATGTTCTCCCATAATTCAATCATTATCAGATTTTGGCATTTATCTTATTACTCAAGTGGTCATGTAAAAACTTCAGCTCAAAAAACAGAATTTGGGGAACAAAAACCTGAACTGTGAGCGAATATTGCAGCCATATCAATTTTGCACTGCACCTTCTCATGTACAGCCACATGCAAAAGTTTGGGCATCAATGATCACATGACTTTCTACGTGAAAATAAGTGAACACATCCTCTACACAGAACATACCTCTGCACATTTTAATGTATAATTACTGTTCATTTGCTGAACTGCGAAAAAGTAGAATAATGCATTAAAGTTAGCAGAAAAATGGCACATTTAAGTTTGTTGCCTTTAGAGGATTTTTACTGTGTATGGATATTTTCACTTTGTTTATCATTATCAATCACAATGATTTTTACTTTGCGTAATGAGCATCTCGACCAATCACAGTACAGAGTGAATGTTTCTGTATGTGTTTTTGTGGATCAAGGCATTCATGTAATCCAACAAACTTACATGAAAGTTGGTCAATTGCTCAAAATAATGTAGGCCAACTTTGTGATGTTTTTGATTCCCCGATGCATTTTTAATATATTGTGCAATGCAATCACAATCTGTAGCATTATAAAACTGGGAGCAAGGCACAACCTATTAAATTTAACCCTTGTGTGGTGTTGATGTTGATGTTACTGAGTGGTCCAGTGGACTCCCTGTATTATTGTTTTTTTTAAATAATAACCATAACAATTTATGTAAAAATACCAGATGTTTAAAACATCACAAGTGTCCAGAGTAGGGTTCTACTTTAGCAGCTATAGCCAGTCAGCAGCCTGTCCATGTTGTCCACTCTCAATTTTGGTAAACACTGAAAATGGGTCCTACAGACCCCAACACCACATGAGGGTTAAATATTTGAGCAAGTTTTTATAGAAGTAGCAGACAGCATAGTCCCCATAGTCTCTCAATGCATGCACTTACATGTTCTCCCATAATACGATCATTATCAGATTTTGGCATTTATCTTATTACTCAAGCGGTCATGTAAAAACTATATTATGATTTCTTAGATCAGATTAAGGCTGTTATTGGATGACAAGAAATCTGATAAAGAGACCTAAACTTTAACGCAGCAATCAGGTTTTTAGCGCATGTGTACCCTTACTCTGATTTCTTTCTCTTACTCTGTTTTTCTTAGCACACGTTCACAAACAGAGGGTAGGGCTGTCCTGGAAACAGCAAGCAGCCTTTAACACAGCATCCATGAAATGGCAACAAAACACTTGTGGAGCAGTTGTGAAACCAGCTACATGCTTGACAAAATGGAATTCCAATGTTCTTCATGTCCTAGATGATGCATATTCATATTTGCCAGTAAAATGACTCCATGCTTTAAAAAACCCGGATATTGTGTCACATCCTTCATCTTCTCTGGGTTTATTGGCGGGTTGCAAAGCAGTAATCCAATAATTACCTGACTCATATAGACTGTGATTTTTCCCATTATCTGATTCCCTAAGTGCATGTAAACACGTTGAATGAATTTTCTGCAGTTATCAATGTCCTCACCAAAAAAAAACAATGGAATTTTTTTTTGGTATTTTTTAATTTGCAATAATAAAAACAATTGGTGTTTTCGTTTTTTTGACCTCCCAATTTTATAAAATATTCACATCTGCCAAACTGTCAAGATGGCACTATGTGGCAAAATCAGAACATATATAGTGACTTATAATGTCATTAAAGGGTTAAGTGCATGTAAACACACACACTGTTTACTTTCGGGGCCTTAAGCCCTTTTCACATGGGATAAATTTGCATTCTGAGGTAATTTTCTGTTTTACAGGTGCTACTCTGAGATTTTATTGCCGTCTGTATCGGCGCTGTCCGTGTTTTTCTTTATCTTCTCCTGAAAAAATTAAAGACGGAATTACCTTCTGCTTTCCACCAAACTCATCAGTCATCTGATGAATTTAGTCCAGTCTGGTTACATATCTCTTTGATTTTGGTGAACATTTGGTCACACTTGATTTGGATGGTCCTCTGTAGATAATTTACAGATATGTAAATTATTAACAAACTTTCTGGTGATACTGATTATCAACAACAGTAAGGTAAGGATTAGGTTTAGGAGTAGGTGTAGGTTTTTCCTTAAAGTTAGGTTTAGGGACAGATTTAATAGAATCTTTCACACGCAACTTCAAGTTCTGTTGCATTTAATAGATATTTAAAGATATTTGAAAGGTATTTAAATTAGACAGTTAAAAATGGTCTTGGTGTGGGTGGTAGAACTTTGTTTCCATCCTCTCTACACTGAGACAGCAATAGCAGAAGGAGAAACAAAATAAAGTCTATCAGAGCAGCGAACATATGACCACGTGTGTGGCACACATCCAGATCAATAGAAATTACAGCCTAATATGTGTAACTTTACTGCCATCCAGATGTGTGAGCTTTATTACTGAGGAGACATGTACATTGTTTTTAAAGATGACCCCCTGATAGAGTAATCCGATCAGAATAGGGCTTTGGCAGCGTAGCACTATGAAAACCAACCCTGCTGTGTGGAGGCTGCACTGTAGCCTGGCTTTTGCTGTGAAGTGTTATATGCTTCAAAGCAGTTTCACCGAGAAGAAGATTAAAAATCCAGGTGTAATGCATCAGTAATCAGAAATCAATTCAAATTTACGTTCATGGTACATGGTGAAGCTGAAGAAATATTGGGAAAATTTGCAGATGAAGAGGCTTTGAGAATACGAGAAAATGACCAAAAGCATGTTCTACTTGAATTTATTTAACTGCATAAAATAGCTGCATTATATTTGACCTTATGTTAGGTTGAGCCCTGCGCTCCACTACTTTATCCATATCATGCATCCCTACTGTATGGAACTGTGACCTCTCAGAACCCCAGAGCTGCAGCTGTGGAACCTTGTAAGTGAATGACTTACCCATGGTCATCCAGTAGAGCTGTACAGGTGGAGTGCCTTTGGGGGGGTTACACTCCAGGATCACAGAGTCTCCCTCCTTCACCACCACTGGCTCTATCCTTTCTTTTGGAAACTTGGGTGGAGCTTTGCAACAAGCACAAAAACAATATATGCTTGTCACACAACCAATATACAGCAGTGAGTTAATAAGGACAGTCATGGAAAGTGACTTACTGTACACTGTGAAATCGGTTTCCTCCGACACTGCTGTTCCCAGCTTGTTGGAGGCGTAGCACCTGTACTTGCCCTGATATTTTGCCAGGTCTTTGTTGTTTGGTATCAGAAAACTCCCATTGTTCTCATATTTTATCAGCTTGGGGTCCTTATGGGGGTTAAAGTCTTGTCCATTCTTAGTCCAGTGGAACCTGTTTAATTCATAAACATATCTTATAGTGCTCAAAAGTAGTCTTGGGACACCTGTATCATCATTTGTCTTTTCAGACATATTTAATTTGTTAATGGATTATGTAAAAAGTGCTTCACCATATTTAAAAGCCATATTTAAAACTTATTAATCAATACTTTGGGTCCAACTATACAATATTAAAAGCATAAAACTTTCAACAAACTCCATTTTACTTCAAAACAAATGTTGGGACACTAAATGAGATCTATAAAGCTACTAGTAAGTGTTCGAAACTTGTCAAAAAATACTAGAAACAGATCTACATAAGAAAAGAGACCTTCATTTAAGAATATAGTTAGATGTATTTTAAAAATGTATCCTACTAATGTTGAGTACTTTTATCTGCCTTGCTTAAGTTTTCACTTAATTACCTCATTCACTTTCACTTGTTTCAGTTAGTAAACCTGGTCGTTATTGCTGGTTGTTATAACTTTTATAACTTGACGGATACAAAATAATAAATAATAACTTTGGCTTAAATAAATGAACAAGACCTAAATTGTCCTAAAACTACTTTTGAGCACTGCATGAATTTTCTTATTGACTGTATTACTGAATATAATGTCGGTAACACTTTCTATGAATGTCACCTTTGTAAGCATCTATAAACACATTCATAACATGTTATAATGCATTCATAAGACATTATAAACATAGCTTTAAATATTTATAAAAATGCATTATACGTTATAGCCATGTTTATTATGCATTATGAATTGTTAACATAATAAATTATAAGTACTGATCATAACAAATTATAAGAGCTCATAAGTCGTATTTGTCTGCTCTAAGTAAAGTGAAGCGTACTGTACTAAAGCCTCCTCCAGTGTTCAGAGTGAGGCTTCAAGTTGAAGTATTTACTGAAGGATTTACTGAAACACTAAAACATTCACAGTAAAGCACATTACAGGCTTCAAATGTCAGAGTTTAAACTAGAGCTGCCATCAGTGTTTTACCCAATGTGGGAAAGGTAATGTTCACCACCGTTAGCTTGGTATTCGTCTTTACTTTATGCTCTCCAAGCTGGGACTGACTTCTTTGGCACTGACATTATAACATGTTATTAACACTACTTATAATGCATTATATAAACAATTCATGATGTATAATAAACATGGCTATAAAGTGTAATTCAGTGTAATTCATTTTTTATAAATATTTATAACCATGTTTATAATGGCTTATACATACATTATAACATGTTATAAATATGTTTATAGATGCTTACAAATGCGACATTCATCGAAAGTGTTACCATAATGTCTTATAAATTAAAAGTGATGAACACATATTGATATTGATATTTGCCATCATTAAAAACATAAAAAGAGTTTCAGACCATAAACAGTTTAACTCAGGGTGTCAAACATATCATGACTATGGTTCTTATCCAGCCTGCCAGAGTAATTTAGAATCCATGTTCTAAATTAAAATCATCCTGTAGACCATATTTGACCATTTGCAAAACAATGATTGACACAAGTCAAGACCAATAACTGCTTAGCAACCATCTCTAAGCACTACTTCTTCTGACAAGAGAATGAAAAACGCGGGACAAACCTGAAGTGAGAACCGCAGTGGGATTAAATTAGTCAGAATGATTAGGCTTAAGGCCTTTACACACCAAGCATGAATAATTAGTGTAATTTATTTTACGACAATAAATTAATGCAAGTAGGTGTACAGCTTACGGTATCTTGAACACCACGAACAACATGATTTTTCAGATGGCGAAAACATGACATTATTTTTTCACGACATTACACTTTTTCACTCTCTGACCAATCACGTTCATCTTGGCATTTGCATGGCAACACCCAAGGTGACGGAGCAGCTGTGCTTAAGCAGCTAGAGCTTCTTCACCATAACTAAAAGGATCAGAATCTCCAAAAGCAGCTACAGCTCAAACTGGGCTACAAACATCCGAGTTATATGTGGAAGAACTCAACGTTTCAGCTTCTGAATTAAATGAAGCTCTTCATTCTACTTGCACTTTTCCAAAATGGAAAGTAGCCCAGTTTCACTGTTTGTCCCTTCTGTGACCCAAAGAACTGAATCCTAATTGCACTTAAAGACATTCAGCTTGTTTGTTTCGTCTCGTGTGGAGCTGCATCTCCAAAATCCACTGAAACTCGGCTGATTTCCCAGCCGTCAGCGAAAGCACTCTCAAATTTTTAGCCACTGAAATGAGGTGGAGTATCTCTCCATTCTCCTTCGCTTTTCCAAAGTGGAAAGCGAAGGACACCTTTTTGATACTCTGCCCGAAATTTCTGACGACAAACAACCATGCAGAACAATGTTAAGATCAGCTAAGTTGGCTTTTTTTAGTTTATCCTGACAGCTTAATAAATCAGTCAGATTAAACAGGACTGTGCAGCGCTCACATTATCATCATCATCATCATCATCATCATCACTTTTATTTATATAGCACCTTTCTCATGCTCAAGGACACTTTACAATCGAAGAACATCAACATGTTAAACAAGAGGACAATACAGGTAAACATTCAAGTATGAACCAATCAACGATAACACAGTGAAAACAAGTCTTTAACAGAGAATTAAATGAAGATAGAGAGGCAGCATCCCGAATAGACTGGGGGAGAGAATTCCATAATTTGGGAGCTACTACAATAAATGCTCAACCACCCATAGAAGCCAATTTACCCCCTGGACCATTAAGAAGGCCTAAATTTTGTGATCTTAAAGTACGGGATGGGACATACAGATGAAGAAGCTCTGCCAAGTATTGAGGAGCCACACCATGCAAAGCTTTATGTTATAAGGAGAACCACATTAGTGATTAAACGTTCTGTTTGAAGATAAATATTAATGCAATTGTATGTGTGTATTTTTTTGCCTTCTTTGAGACTTACTACATGAATTTTTGCCAGATTTTAACCCCGATTTCCCCCTACCGACAAATCTTTACAATTTTCCAGGTCTGGAGCTCAATTTCTGGTGGTGTTTGAGGGCAAAATGAGTGACCAAAGGCCTTCCAATATTTTCAAACATGCTTTTTACAACTTAAAACATTCATGAGCACTGTAGTGTGAGATGGTCAGAATGAATGATTCATGCAACAGGCAATGGGAAGAGATAAGACATGTATGCAAGCCATGTGTGCAGCAGACTGCAGAGACAGAGGAGCTGCTTGTTAAACACAGGCAAATGTTTATCATGTATATAATGTATGAATCCAGACATCGAGTCACTCCCTTAACAATTTTAAGTCAGCTGCCAGTTTGTAGTGAAATATTCTCCCGTTCTCACTGTGATGTCTGCATTTCTCACCCAGTGTTTTTGCCAGAACAGGTCCAGTGTTCAGACAAAGCACACTGCCTTGCTGAAATGTCTTACCGCAGCACGTATTTATAAGTAGTGCCCTAAATAAAACTGTTGGTACACTGTTAGAAATAAAGGTTCTGTTCAGGTACATTTTTTGTTCCAGGTACAAACAGTGTAAATGTTCCCTCAAAGGTACAACAGTGGTTTTAAGGTCTGATTGTGAACCTTAAATAAGTTTCTCCAGGTGAAAAGTTCGTATTTGTACATTTTCATAACCGAATGTTTTAGACAGAACAGTAAAATAAAAGCCTGGAGACGAGACGGGGTGTGTGGAGTCAGTACAGCTTAGAACATATCATTTCAGTGGATTATGGTTCAGTTATGTTCCCCGACTGAAGGTACTGAGATGGAGCCTTGAGGGTCCCACTCCAGTGACAAGAGGGGGACTGCCCCAGAGACAGTTTAATATATTTTTTTCTGAGAATGTATGATATTTTGTTGTATTATTGTCAGAAAATACTACCAGCATTAGAATATTTGTAGGTAGGTAGAATATTTTGATAGCCTAAATTACCTTATTAGGGGGTAAGCAGTCATTTTAAGCTGAGTCTGTACTAAACTGACATAAAAAATACAAAAAACCTTTGACATATGAAGTTACTATGCTCTACTAATGATATGCGCAGGCTTGGTAGGGCCGATCGATGGGTAGGACAAAATATTAGAACACCGGTCTAGTTTTGCTTTGTTTGTGTTAATGGAGGGGTGCTGGGATTTTGAGTTCTTAAGGCCGTTACACACTGAACCCGATGCAAATATATAGAGCCCCTAAGGGGTCGTTGGTTAAAAAAGAAATGTGACATTGCATCCCCCTGAATAATTTTGCATTCCTTTGCAAATGTTTTGCATTCCCCTGCAAAGGATTTAGACTTGCAAAGGAACGCAAGATGTTTGCGAGGGAATGCAATGTCACTGCTATATTTTTTCACAATGGCACGTGTAAATGACACAAAAACGTGAAATATTTTGATGTGATACCACAGTGTGTTTTTGAATTTCTTTTTGAAGGTTAAAGTAGAATATTTATCAAATGGTCCTTTGGAATGAACTGCATAATCTGTGAGCGTATAGGAGGCTTTCTACTTTGGAAAAGCGAAAGAAAGAAGAAAGAGGAGTTTCTCAGCCTCATTCAGGAACTAAGACTGTATGAACTCCTTTACACACAGCTCATATCTCCAACTCAGTTTGAGCTACTTTTGGAAATGCAGCTCCTCATGAGACAAAAGCACAAAACAAACGGACTGAATGTCTTCAGGTGCAAATAAGACATCCTTTGCTCCCCACAGAATAAGCAAACTGTGGCACTGGACTACTTTCCATTTTGGAAAAGTGATAGCAGCGTGAAGAGCTTCATCGCTTCGTTCAAAAGCAGAAACTTTGAGTGCTTCCACATATTAAATTATGTTTGTAGCCCAGTCTGAGCTGCTTTTAGAGACTCGTTTGTGAAAAAGTTCTAGCTGCTGGAACACTAGACACTCAAAAATGAATGAAAAATGTACCTTTATTTCTAACAGTGTAGACGCTCATTGGACACTGCCGATCCATAATCTTCTTTGTCATCATGCCAACAGCAGAGATGACCCTGATTGGTCATTGAGTTCATGCCACCAGCGAAAGTTTGCAAAATGTTTTTTATTTTTTCCCAATTTTCTCCCCAATTTAGACGTATCCAGTTCCACCCACTAGTTAGGACTCCCCACTCACATGATACCACCAGTGCTAGGAGGGCAAAAGCTAGAACAGAGTTCTGAAGTGAGCCACTGCATTGTTTCAAACGGCTAGATGGCTGAACATGCTCAGAGGAAAGCGCCAACCACCAGTTCTGTTAGACTGGCTAGCATCGCACTGGGGAATGGGGGAACACAGGGCCATCCTGCTCATCGAGAGAGTCTAAATAAATCACAGTAATAACATGCGCTTGGTGTGTAAAAGCCTTTATTTGTAGCAGAAACTCGTTATGTGTGTTATACTCTCTCCTTGCTTTATTGTCTTGTGTCGCGCCCTCATGACAAATAGACAAGAAATTCTCTGCAAGAATTTTGTTTGTGATGCTCTCCACATTAAAATCTGCTAGAATTTTGAAAGTTGTGTTGTGAACACCCAGCTTAATCCGTTATGAGTGATATTTGTGCAATTAATTTTCTCATAAAAAATGAACCTTAATACATAATAAAACAAACACAAGGCCTACTAAATGTATTTTTTTGGTCCGGCCCAGTTAATACTGCACTGAGTGTAATGCAGCCAGCTACCTAAAAGGAGTTTGACACACCTGCTTTAACTGAATGGTGAAACCAGCACATCAATCAGTGAAGTGTTGGGGTTACTCACACTGGTTTTGGGTTGCCTTTGGCTTCACAGGTCAGAGCGATACTTTCATCAAATGGCAGGGCAACGAGGGCTTTTGGAGGGTGGACTGTGATTGTTGGCAGCTGCTCCACTGCAGAACAAGAACACACAGTGTCACTGATGTGAAGCATCACTTTATGAAGCACCAAAATCTACTTAAATGCAGAGTGAGGAATGAGGAATGGCTTTTTACAAAGTTGGAGTGACAGTTTACCCTCACTCTGAGATCGCTCTGACACCACTCTGTCCCACTGGACCACTTCATACATCTTTACGTATAAATGTCACACACACACTCAAAGAGGTCCAGCTCGATGTTTAGGTCTCAAATGCAGAATCAACTTTATACTGATAAAGATCGGCCGACTATAGTAGATCATCCACTTACATCCTTGGAAAACACATCCTTTACCAAGTTTTGACTGACTGATCTCTGAATACTCTTTCAACAAGCTTGTAATCATCAGATTCATCTGCTCTGGGGGTGCAAAGCACAACTGACATTACAAAACATTCTTCTGCACGTTGCTTGTAATCTCCACATTACTACAAATCTCCAAACTTTACAAGTGCAGCTTTAAATCATTTGAAAACACCACTTACCTATTGTGTGAACACCATATGAACATTTCTTATAGATTTTTTGTACTACACTGTATTACATCTCTTTACATCTCATTACATTACCATACATTCTGTTTCTAGTTTTTGAACGGACAGAGAAAGAATGCTGTTGGTCTTTTTTTGATTTTTTTGATTTAAATGACTAAATGACTTTGATTTGAGTTGGGTGAGACTCTATTTGGCACAGGAGATGTCATATCGGCCAAAGTACCATTCAGAGCTATATGTATACGTCAGATACTTGAGTTCCTCTCCCTCACATACAGTGGCTGCTGTCCTGCTGAGTCCCAGACAAAACTCCCAGCAAGTTATTTAATAAAAACTTTTAAACTTTCCTAAATTTTTAAATCCAAGAGTGCTTGTTTTGAAGGCTTATTACTTTATTTACAAGGGTTCGATAACTAGCAGTCCACCTTCACTGTAGGAATAAAATGATACGTTAGCTTACTGTAATGTTAGCTAGCCCAAACATCAAGGCTCACAGAACTTGGCATGGGCTTGTTGCTCAATAAGGCACATAAGATGTTTCTCCACTGTGTCCGCAAATATGACCGTGCTAACTCACAATGGCGCTTGCCTGGCCTCAGTTTCAGAAGCATGGTCCAGCAGTTAGCTAGCTAGCTGTAGGTTATGGAGCATTCAAAAATTGGACACAATATGTTCGTGATCTACCTAGATGAAAGCCTGAGTTCTCAAACATTATCTGCAAAATGTAATTAGATCTCTGAAATGCCTATTTGACAGCTTGTTCTTCATTTTGGACTGTTTACTCACAATTCACAAACCGGCCGATAAGAGCAGAGTGGTCTATCTAAAAGCATCTTCCTTTGCTAAGGAGAATTAGCCCGTGAGAGATAATACAGGAAGATTCACTCGAAAGAGGCCCCGAATATCCTGTAATAACCCTCGCTGGGATGAAGCAATCTGAACCAAACAACATGCAATGTGCTCCTAGGCGCTGGACAGCCATCGCAACGGTTAATCTCCGTTTTCAACTTCCGGGTGCAGCCCCCCCGTACCCCTTCATGTGTCTGGCAGAAAACGAAGATCACTTTCAGCATCGCATGTAATGCAATCGAACACACATACGTCAAGGTATGTAGCATATTTTTTTGGTTCAGATTGCTTCACTTTACAGGAGTTACAGCAGAATATTCGGGGCCTCTTTCGAGTGAATCTCTCTGTAGTTTAACATTAATGGAGCAAAGACAAGAACAGCAACCACTGAACAATGTTAGTGTCAGATTACTTACCCTCAGGAGGAATATGAACAGCAAAGGCAGTAGATAAGAACGCCGACAGGAGCCCAACAGCAAGGCCCCCGAGCCCCCTCATCCCATCAACCTGATGAAGACCCCGGCTTCCACCGACTTCTAAGCTAAGACACGTCACTGAGTCTTAGAAGCAAGAGGTCTAAAAAGAGAAATATGAACACAGACAAAAAATTTAGCAATCTTTCTGCACAGGTATGGGATTCAGTTCCTCTAGGGCTTCAAAGCGTTCGAGCGAGATCTGCCTTCACTGCTATCTCAGATTTAGAGTAAGCTCTAGCCTAACAAGGCTAAATCATTCTAAAACCTTTTCGCCTCAGGCTGGAAAGGAAAAAATGAGCATAGAATACTGTTCCTAGAATGTGACAGGCTGTATTCTCTGACTAGTGGCCACAGTTGAAGAATGTGCCCATAAAAACAACACGCAATATGCATGAATTCCTTTTTCCAGCGCTTTTCCTTCCATACGAAGTCGTGCAGTTAAGACGCTTAACCGCAAAACTGCCTAATATGTTGTGAGTCACTTGATTCACACATAACTGAACAGAGTTGTTTCTAGCTTGCTTGGTGTGGACCTATCAAACCTTTTCATTAGTATGCACATTTTGACAGGTGTGTCAAACTCCACCTGCACTAACCAAGCGAACCTTTTGCAGGTCTTGGTCCCTTTTCAAAGGGTTCAGTTTGATGCAGGTGGGAACACACCAAAAAAGGGTATTCAACATCGGAGCATCCTAGCAGCACATTAGCGCCGTACTGACCACATAACTGTTTTAACATCTGATTGTTCATTCAAAACATCATTCTTCACCTGAACTTAACTGAATCATGGAAAGGATGTCCAGACAGTTAAATGGCTGGCTGGTGCATTTCCTACTCAACCCACTAAACCTGTTGAACGTCCTAGAGTTAATTTAAAGTACCGCTAAAGTCAAGAAAATGAACTAACACAGAAGAAATCTTGGTAACACTTTCTATGAATGTCACATTTGTAAGCATCTATAAACACATTTATAACATGTTATAATGTATTCATAAGGCGTTATAAACATGGTTATAAATATTTATAAAAAAGAATTACACTGAATTACACTTTATAGCCATGTTTATTATACATTATGAATTATTTATATTATGCATTATAAGTAGTGTTAATAACATGTTATAATGTCAGTGCCAAAGAAGTCAGTCCCAGCTTGGAGAGCGTAAAGTAAAGACAAATACCAAGCTAACAGTGGTGTACATTACCTTTCCCACATTGGGTAAAACACTGATGGCAGCACTAGTAGCACTAATTCATAATGCATAATAAAAATGGCTATAACATATAATGCATTTTTATAAATATTTATAGCTATGTTTATAATGTCTTATGGATGCGTTATAACATGTTATGAATGTGTTTATAGATGCTTACAAAGGTGACATTCATAGAAAGTGTTACCGAAATCTTCTTACATATTGTGGTGATTTCATCTTCTCGCTAAGCTAACGTTACGCTCTGGTCCTAACAAGGGTATGAATTTAAAGTGGCTTAAGCTAACAGCTCCACACAGAAACAGAAACAGCCCTCAGATTAAACTCTTTTTTATCTGCATCAGTGAAGCTACATTAAACCTGTGCTGTGGTGTGAAGCTGTAGTATGCTAAGCTACTGCAGTAGCATGCTACATGCTACTAGAACAGCTCTACAAACCACATTTGACAGTTTATAAGACAGCTGTGGAAGATGTGTAATGAATGTAGATGTGGAACAATTTAACATTGTCATAATCAAAATAATCCAGCAATGGACTCACTGGCAGGGCCTCCCGGGCCTCGACTAGCATCTAGCAGCGCACCACAATAAACCACGAAGAGTTAAACTTTTAAAAACCTCATTTTTGAGTGCAGGGGGTCTTTAACTTATGTTAGTCCAACTTATCTTACTAGAGTGGTTTAAAATTGGTCAGGACAGTGCCCAGTCTGTTTGGAACCAAACTCAACAGTAGAGAATATGGTAAAGCACTTTAGAAGCCAACAGTAACATAACTAGGTCATTAACACAAATATAAGGTGCAAGCAAGGTAAAAATACAGGGGGTCCTGGGGAAATTCCTGATCAATCAATGAACGCCTGTTTGTATACTTTGGTACACTGCAATTACAATTACAATGTGAAACCAAACAATCCAAATATACCAAAAACTCTGCAAATAAACCAGGTATAGGGTCTGTTTCCTTGCTCTCTTGTTGGTTTCATGACTTTAAGTGGCCTAATGGACCAAAACCCAGCTGAAGAAAACATGCCAAAGGCCTATTCCACACGCCAAAGGCTCATTCCACACTTAATCACTCAAACTCACTCAAACATGGAACGCATGGGTGAAATTCCTCAGATACCTGCCAGTGCAAATTAACAACAACTACTTTAGTGACACTGAATGGCCAAGTAATAGCCAGAGGTAATGGATAATGCTCCCCATAGATTGATTTCTTGGCAAGAGATTCTAATTTGGATGTTTAGATGGTGTAGACAGTGACCAGCTCAGTGCTGAGTAGAAGACTGAAACAGGAGAAATGAAAACAGCAGCTCTTCTACATGCACCTACGCATGCATATAGAAATACCATACATGTTTAATACCCATATATGTAACGTCACTGTCCAAGGAAAAACATGTATGTGGGTCATTCTACAGAAACGTCCACTTTTCTATCTGTCCATAGGAGTCACTGGTGTTACTGATCCTCATTGGTGTTCCACATAATAAAGGGAACACCAGAGACATTTTTAATGAAAAATGCATTTTACTAAATGTCTGCTACAGAGCATCAAACCACATGTCAATCATGGAATATCCACTAAAATATGTCATTTAATCCATTTGTATTCTATTTTTTCACAATGACCTCAGAATAAAGTCGGTCACACCAGTGACTTCAGCTAAAAGCTTCATATGAAATCATGAGCTAAATGAGAAAATCTCTGATAACTGAAAGACACAGTGGACTCACCATGTGCTTTTCTTCATAGATCCTCAGAAAACAGGTAAAAGGAAGTCGAGTGATGTCATCAGTGTGACTTTTATTTCAAAATAAGAGATTTTTTGTTATGCAGTAACACCAGTGACACGACTCCTGGGGACCACAACTTTCATTATATATTTTATAATATTTATTTGGCATTTGTTTTCTTTGTCATTTAAATCATATATTTCATAGTCATGTATAGATTATTGCAGTTAAAATAGCAGAAAAACATGTTTTTTTCTTCAAAATATGGCCTCAGCCTTCACACATGACTGTGAGGATGAGCTCTTCTGTGGTGCTTGGAATTCTATATGATTGATTTAAAAACCAATATTGCTAATTGATGAATCAAGAAGGTGTAATTGTTAAAATAACTTATTGTTTTATTTAAAAATATAAATATTTTTTTTGTTAAGTGTAATAGATCTGTAAATGCTAGGGACACAAAAATGGACAATTCTGTAGAATGACCCATCTCCATTTTTGTCGATTTTTATTTTTTTTTACACCATTTGAACCTGGCAGCCTTTATATACCCTTTATATCATGTGAAAATTTCATGGTGATTGGACCAATAGAAATGCTCCAAAATCACTTCAAATTAAATCTTTTTTACGTTAAATTACATTAAAAGTTACTAAGGTACTATACTATAAGGTAAAGTTAAAGGTACTATTTTGGAGATACTTATTTTTCTTTGGACAGCAACGATATATGGATGTATATGGATCCATACGTACTTAAGGAAAAAAAACAGGATCACATAACACATGTTAACATTAACAGTGGCAATTTGGCTGTAGCACAGCAGTACAACGTCAATGTTTCACATCCATAGTGAGGAAAAAAAGAAGAAAAGACATTTTATCTGATTTATCTATGTATTTATTTGTTTGTTTGTTTGCTTGTTTTTTTATTGAAAACTTTTTGAAAAATCTAGCTTCTCTTTACATGTTACACTGTAAAACATGTAACAGGGCAGAAACTGATCTGACATGTTTTTGAGGCTTGATGTACAGTCATATGCAAAAGTTTGTGCGCCCCTGGCTAACAGGCATCTTGTTCACTGTCTGAAAATAAGTGCATATTCTCTATAGGGAGAACACTTCTGCACATTTTAATGCACACTTACTGTGTGTTTACTCAATCTAACATATAGGTGGAAAAGTTGTGCAAAGGTTATGGCACATTTTACACTTCATGCTTTATTGTGCACTAATATTTGCAGGAAAAAAAATCCATATTTTAAGTTTGTTCCCTGTAGAGCAGGAGATTTAAAAAATCTCAGCAAATCCGTGAGCAGAACTGCAACAGCAAAATAGGCACTGAATACTTATTCAAAAATCATTCTAAACAAAAATAAATTGTTTTAGGTAGTTTTTTAAACTGCCTATTTGCTTTAAATAGACACCAGGCATCTTTTCTTTTTGTGTAACTGCCCATAGATTGTTTTTGGGGGTCAGAATGCACACTTTGTTGCAGTGCATGCTGGGGCATTATCTCAGGGTGAAATGGGCTAATAAGAACCGAAAATAAAAATAATTTCGCGGGCCGAATGACTGTGTCACGGGCCTGATCTGGCCCACGGGCCTTGTGTTTGACACATATGCTGTAGAAGAAGTGTTCACTTATACTCTCTTAGAAAATCAACAAAACATGTAATTTAACCAGAAATGTTTCTAACTTTTGCATAAAACCGTAATAAATAGTATTAATTCATCCAAACTAACATTTTTGAGTTGGATCAAAAGCAGTTAAGTTCACAAATGGACACAAAGAAAAGTTCCACAGTTACTTGGAGTAAAATCTCATGACATTCACACACATTAAAGTGAAGAACGTTTTTCTTTCCTCTATGAACATTTCATTTCACGTTTCTCAACATTAAGAGTCTGACTAATAAACAATATGATATGCAAGGCCCTACTTTAAGTTTAGGGCTTTGAGCAGATTTAAGCAGAACTTCCAGAGCCTAACAGTAAATCGGAACAAGCAGATGAACCCTGGATGGCCTCTACCTAGAACTTGTATAGACAACTTCCTGCTGGATATGCCAGCAATAATCACATCAGAACTGCTGACATGGTGAAATGAATGAGTTTCTCTCCCAAAAACGTCTCTGTGAACAGCTTCACTGAGCCCCCTCTAAAGAGGAAATACTGCAGCACAGTCAAATAGGAACTCGAAGCTAAAGGTGTGAGGGTATTTTTAGTTGTAAGTTATGTAATTTGGTGCATGTTTTCAGATCTGACTTTCAACAGAAATGGAACTGGTTATAAATAACACACATTTCCCCTTTTCAGTATTACTGAGTACAACTCCATTTCCAAAAAGGTTGGGACACTTTACACAATGTAAATAAAATTAGAATGCAATGATATGCAAATCATCTAAAACATATTTTTAAAGGAAAATAGTAATTGGACGACATATCAAATGTTGAAACTGAGAAATTTATTGTTTTTTGAAAAATATATGCCCATTTTGAATTTGTTGCCAACAACACTTTCCAAAAAAGTTGGGATGGGGGCCTGTTGACCACTGTTTCATCACCTCTTCTTTTAACAGCACTCTGTAAGCGTTTGGGAACTGAGGAGACACTGCTGTAGTTTAGAAAGTGAAATGTTTTCCCATTCTTGCTTAAGAATTTCAGCTGCTCATCAGTTCAGAGTCTCCTTTGTCATATTTTTCATTTCATAATGTGTCAAATGTTTGCAATAAAAGGTTTGGACTGCAGGCAGGTCAGTTTAGCACCCGGACTCTTTTAATACGGAGCAATGCTGCTATATTACATGCAGAATGAGGTTTGACATCGTCTGAAATAATCAAGGCCTTCCCTGAAAAAGACGTCGTCTCGATGCAGCATATGTTGCCAAAACATGTATATATCGTTCAGCATTAATGGTGCCTTCACAGATGAGCACGTCACCCATGCCATGTGCACTAATGCCCCCCTATACCATCCTGAATACTGGCTTTTGAACTGTGCACTGATAACAAGCCTGATGGTCTTTAGCCCGGAGGACACAGTGTCCATGATTTCCAAAAACAATTTCAAATGTTGATTCATCAGACCACAGGACACTTTTCCACTTCGCCCCCATTTTAAATAAGCTCGGGCCCAGAGAAGGTGGCAGCATTTCTGGATCCTGTTTATATATGGTTTCTTCTTTGTGTTTTAGAGTTTTAACTTACATTTGTGAATGCAGCAACAAACTGTGTTCACAGACAGTGGTTCCTCATCTTTACTTCTGAAAGTCTCAGCCTCTCTGAGATGCTCTTTTTATCATGTTAGTGACCTGCGGCCAGTCAACCACCAGGTGTTTTTAGCATTACACAAGTTTACCAGCTTTTTGTTGACCCCGTCCCAACTTTTTTGAAATGTGTTGTTGGCATCAAATTCAAAATGAGCTTATATTTTTCAAAAAAAAATAAAGTTTCTCAATTTCAACATTTGATATGTTGTCTTTGTTCATACTGTCAATGAAATACAGGGTTTAAATGATTTGCACCTTTAGTTTAAATACATTTGGATAACACAGCCAATGAGGAAGAGTGAATTTAGTAGACAGACCAAAAAGCTTGAGCTACAGATGTTTGTGTTGGAGGGAAGAATCCAGATTAACTCTGTGATCCACGTGATCAGCTTATCTGTATTATGATGACAACAGGGTATCAACGTTCGACCAGTCTGTACACAAACCACCACTGAACTTCTGAAGGAATGAAAAGAGTTCTTATTCAAAGAGTCATTATTACTTATGTCAGTATTATGAAGCTGCGAGGACTGACATTGAAGGAACAGTCTTAGTGAAACCCAGTAGTTACAGAGGATACACACTTCCTTACAGATAAAGGTGCCAACAGGGGTTATTTGGAGTGAAGCCAGAGAAGAACCACTTTTAGTTTCCTAAAGAACATTTCAGTGTAAATGAGATGGGTGAGTGTGAAGAACCATTTTAGATTACCAATTTACAAAAAAGGTCCTAGAACATATATATCCAAAACAAAAACTAACAAATATTGGTTATATTGGTATTATAGAACCATTTTTATCCTTAAAATGTAGAGTAATTTTGAAACTCTAAACTGGTGCTGCGATACACCTCTTTATTTTGACACAAGGGATCTTTGAAAGAGGCAAATGAGAGATTATCTCCAATGTATACCCTGGAATATGCACACAGAGAAGATATTCAAATCCACTGTCCAAGAACAGATCCTCTGATAACAGTCTACCTTATTATATAAGCCAGAGTGTATGATAACCATCTACACTCCTGAACCTGCCAGAAAGGGTTCTCGAGAGTGATGCCACTGAAGAACCACTTTTAGTCTCCTTAGGAACTTTTCAACAGATGGTTCTTCCAAGTGCCACATGTGTGAGTGCGAAGAACCATTTTAAAGTTTGAACAACTTCCATATCATAGAAAGTTCTCCACGAATGCAAAGATTTCCCAAGAACCCATTCATTCAGGGCAAGGACCGTTTCAGAACCTTCACTGTTAAAAGAGTAGCCGAAGTTGAGAACTCGATTGCTGCAACAAACCAGTTCACTCTGAGACAGGGAATCTTTGGCTACATTCATATTACAAGCCTCGTTGCTCAAATCCGATTTTTTGCTCAAATCCGATCTCTCTGACACGATGGTTCACACTCGTTTAGGTAAGTGACTCAAATCTGTCATTAATGTGACGAACCGGCGTCCTGAAATGACCCTCATGAGCTCATCCTACTCAGTAACGTCACGTGAATGAATCACGAGCATCATCAGCACAAACTAACGAGCAGAACGAGCTTCGCTGAGAAGATAATTAACTCTGATCAGCTCTCAGCTTCATTATTAGAGCGAGACGAAGGAGAAAAAGGTGAGATGAGCTGCTTTTCCACCGTTTACAGGCTTTAACTTCTGTTCGGCACTGCTGCCATGGTAACGCTGAATGATGGTCACACGCAGTGGGAAAAAAGCACATGAATTCCGATCTGAGTGTCACGTTAAGGTCGCATGGCCACGAATCAGATATGTATCCGATCTAGCACTACATATGAAAGTGGTCAGATTTGGAAAGATCAGATTTGTGTCCACACATCTCTGAAAACATCAGATCTGAGTCACATTAGGGCAAAAAATCGCATATGGGAGGATCTCAAATGTAAGTCCAAGAACCTGTGACCAGAGAAGATATTCAGATCATCAGTCCAGGATAAATTCTGCTGTATTATAGAAGTCAGAGGTGTCAGAAGTGCTGTTTGTTTGAAGCCATACAAGAACCACTTTTGGTTCCCTAAAAACTTTCAGTGGCTGTTTCTTTAGAGAACAATTTTAGTAAATGAGATGCATGAGTGTGAAGGACCTCCTGATAATGTAAAGGTTCTGTAAATTTGTACAGAACCTTTACACTACAGTCTTAAAACAAGGTGCCACAAAGGGCTCGTTGAACAATTCCATAGAAGAACCACAGTTGATTCCTAGAAGAACCTTGTTTGAATATTTGAGACCTCATTTGCTGTGAACTGGTTTGTTGCAGCAACTGAGCTCCCAACTTCAGCTACACTGTTAAAAGTAAAGGTTCCAAAATGATTCTTCTCCTGAATGAACGGGTTCTAAGGAAATCTTTGAATTCGTGGAAAACTTTTACATGATGTAGAAGTTTAAACTTTAAAATGGTTCTTTACACTCACGCATCTGGCACTTGGAAGAACCATGTTTGAAAAGAGATTTATGAGTGTGAAGAACTTTTTGAAGGCTTAAAAAATCCTAAAGAACATAATAATAAGTTTCTTCATCTTTATTTAAGGGTTCTTGCTAGAAAAACAAAAAGTTCCTCACACTCACACATCTCATCCATTGAAAGGTTCTTTAGGGAACTATTTCTGTCACCTGTGTTTTTAAGAATGTAAGTCTCGCCCTTAATTTTGTACCTTATTTTTAAGAGGGTAGAAGCAAAATATGTAACTGTACACCTACGTTTTGAACTTTTCACCACCACATAAAACAGAAGGAACTTCTGTACTTACTTGAACGAGTCCAGCAGGTAGTATCCACAACACATCCACACAATAATTCCCCGTTAAAGCGGAGCCCAGGAGGGGAGCGGCTACGATATTAAACACATTCAACCCGACTGTCCAAGCTCTCGGCATGCTCCACTAAGCCACACATTCACTCCCTCTCCCTCTCGCACACACACACACACACACACACACACACACACATAAACACACCTCCAACACGCCCCACCACTCCAGCAAAGCACTAAAGGAGATTCACTGAGGAGACATATGTCAGCAAAGCCTCTCTCCAGGCTAGGAGACGAACTAAGCCTTTGACAAAGATTCCAACAAAGCCTGATCCCGAGAGCTATTCACAAACCATTAAAGAATGGACCAGGAAGTGGTGGAATTCCTGGCCATCCAATGAGCAGCATAAAACCAGCTTTATTCAGAAGAAATGGTACTCATACGGAAACTTTTACACAGTGTGCTAAAACATAGTGGTTCTGCAAGTCTTTACAGTTATATATGGGAATGAAGTACAATGGAGTTGTACTGCTTTGATTAGTGATAGTCCTGTGCAGCGTGTCAACAGTGGGAATCCTCTTAGCCAAATAAAGCCTATCATCTTAATCCCTAATGCTTCCTTAAAGGCTTGGCAGATGCGCACACTTTTCATTGTTTATTTTCCCTGAAACAACAGAGGTGCTCATTTGAAAAAATCTGAAACCAGTTGTTGATGGATTCGATCATTCAATGTAGGTTTTCATGTTAACAGGTTTTTCTTATGAGGTTTTTTAAAATATGTTTTTTTTTTTATTCTTTCACCAATTTTCGTCCCACTGCTGGCCAAAGGAATGTACTTAGGACACCATATGGCATGTGGAATTAAAAACATAACCTTTATAACGAATTGAAGGAACTGAAGGGCTGCATTCATAAGGCTACATGACATCTACATAAGCTCTGCATGTTTACCGACTTAAACCTACAGTCATATGCAAACGTTTGGACATCCCTAGTCAAATAACATATTTTGTCGATTTTCTAAATGACAATATGTCAACACATTCTCTACAGGACAACTAAATGTAGCATTTTTCTGCAAAAATCTGTGCACAACCTCTTTTTATTTGCTGCGTTCAACAAAAGATAAAAGAAAAGATAGAAAATAAAATATAAGATGTGGCATAACTTTTGCAGAGGCCACATTTCTGTTCCCAAAATGTTATTGTTAAATTATTAAACAGTATTAAATGCTGCCACTGGACTCACATTTCAGCATGCTTCTTACAGTCTGATGGTCCAAGGAAAATGCTAACTACCTATGTTGTACCAACAGTAAAGTTTGGTGGGGGAGGGATAATGGTCTGGGGATGTTCCAGGGTTTGGGCCCCTTAGTTCCAGTGAAGGGTGATGTTAATGCTAAAGCATACAAAGACATTTAAGACATTTATTTGCACCAATATTCCTGCTCCAGCACGACTGAGCCCCTGTGCACAAAGCGAGCTCTATTAAAACATAGTTTGAAGGAAAGAAAATAATAAGTCTCTTCATCTTTATTCAAGGGTTCTTGCTGGTACCTTTACATAATGCAAAGGTTCTTTTAACTTTAGAAAGGTTCCTCACACTCACACATCTCATCCATTGAAAGGTTCTTTAGGGAACCAAACGTGGAAGAACTATTTCTATCACCTGTGTTTTTAAGAATGTAAGTCTCGCCCTTATTTTTGTAGCACCCTTATTTTCAAGAGAGTAGAAGCAAAATATGTAACTGTACACCTACTTTTTGAACTTTTCCCACCACATAAAACAGAAGGAACTTCTTTACTTACTTGAACGAGTCCAGCAGGTAGTATCCACAACACATCCACACAATAATTCCTCGTTGAATCGGAGCCCAGGAGGGGAGCGGCTACGATATTAAACACATTCAACCCGACTGTCCAAGCTCTCGGCATGCTCCATGTTTGAAGAGTTTGGTGTGGAGGAACTGCAGTGGCCTGCACAGAGCCCTGACCTCAACCCCACTGAACACCTTTGGGATGAACTGGAACGTCGATTGTGAGCCAGGCCTTCTCGTCCACACAAATGCTCTTTTGACTGAATGCGCACAAATTCCTATAAACACAGCTGTTGTAGCTGCAAAGGGGCAACTCCATATTAATGTTCATGGATTGGATTGGAAACCCAAGGTGTTTGTCAGGTGTCCACATACTTTTGGCCATATAAAGTTGTTACGACCCCAAGTCGTAATAGCCCTTCTTTGTATCTGTTTGCGGCCATTTTGTGTGTTTTTTCCATTGTTGTATTATGTGCAGGTACATGACTGGCCCCTCGGGGGCGCCTGGCTGTATAAGAGGTCGCTGAGCCACCATCTTGGGAGACGTTCAGGGCTCTTTCCCTCTTGATACGACCTGGAAGAACACCTGTTCAGACCAACCCGGCACTCTTCACACCACTCTTTGCTTCGCTTAGTGTGTAAAGTTGTGAAAGCTTTGTTAGATTTTGTGAAACTCTTGTGAACATTGGAAAAGTAGAGGACGGGTGCTGTTTTGTTTTCTAACTGTTTTCTAATACCTGTATAAACAAATATAAAGCAAAGGTAAAATAATACTGTTACCACCACACAACAACACACACACTCAAATACAGCATGTGTTAAAGGGGAGTTTCATCATTTCTTATGAAAAAATATTCATATTTCAGTTATCATGATGTATCATGATGAATGACATGATGAAAGTCATTCAGAGTGGTTTGGTGTGAAATGGCTCAATCTATGGAAAATTAATGACTCAAAATTCTTTAAATGGTGGTAATAGGAACCAGGGGTTGAGATGGCCACACAAATATGGCCATTTTATTTGCTATTCAAAGCCACTAGTAAACTTAGAGGTTTTTATACAATGTAAATAATGACAAAATACTGTTAATTCTGGAAAAAAAAGCTTCTTATTGGTACCATTTTGTCAGACAACATCCTGCATGTACTCCTCTACAATGAATGTATTAAATGTCTCCAGCATCAGGCAACAGATTCATAACATTTCATATATTAACTTTTTTAATGTGAGGGAGTTTTAGAGGCATTAAATGCTTCAGACGTCTGGTTCCTATCACCATCACTGTGAGCAATTCTCTCTCAGCAAGTTTCTCTAGAATGGAGCGTTTCACACCAAACCAGTCTGAATGACTTTGTTTACATTTTAAGGATTGAATCATACAGACTTAAAAACATTAGTGGAATTTTCCTTCAGTGTGTATTTTATTCAAACTAGTTAAAATATGTCCATATGTCTTTTTGTTTTTAGGTTTAGTTAGTTTTTCATCCTTAGTAGTTTTTTTGTTATTTTGGCAAATTCTCGTCCCTGAAGCCGTCACCTCGACTTTTCTGAGCTTTTGAAGAAAATAAACCTGTCATTTTCTGGTTTAAATGGTGTCCGGTGTCTGGTCTGGCAGCAGGACTGGGGAGAGAGCCCGGTCTCATTCTCTGTTACGGCCTGACCATAGACCGGGTCGTAACAAAAGTACAGGATGCTACAAAGTCTAAGCTTCACTGCAAAACATACAAACGCAAAGTAGTTACATAAAGTCCTGTAAACAGCATGGACCTAAAGAATGCAGATACCCAATGTATTATTTACAGAACTAATAGAGAGCGCTGTCCGTGACGACAAACTGCTCTTAGGAATAACAACAGGCTCGAAGTGAGTCTGTTTCAAAAGACTGAAAATGTAATTGTTCTCAGTAATGGGAGGTGCATTCAAAACTGTCCTAACATGCCTGTCGATGAAGGTTCCGGATTAATGTGAGAATGTGGTTTCGCTGCTGCAAAGTGTGAAAAACAGATGTTAAAGGAAGTGCCAGGCTGATCAAACAGCCCTCATAGCACTGCGCAGTGTCTGGGATTTGCTGGATTAAGTCCCATAATCACTGTAAACATATCTAGATCCACGACGCCACAGAATTCAGGTGATTCCGAGACATGATGAAGAACACTGGAAGAGTATGAAGAAGGATGGTGAATGGAGGAAATTCCTGTGAAATTCTCACCAAGCGTGTGAAATATGTTATTAGTCACTTCTGCAGAACTTTTGAAGAATCAATCTTCATTCGGGTTTCAAAATCATTGCTTTCTAATACCTGTATAAACTCTCAGCAAAGGTAAAATAATACTGTTACCACCACACAACAACACACCCTCAAATATAGCATGTGTTAAAGGGGAGTTTCATCATTTCTTATGAAAAAAATATTCATATTTCAGTTATCATAGTGTAAATAAAGTCATTCAGGGTGGTTGTATGTGAAAAGGTTAATTGTATAGACAATTAATAGTTAAAAATAGCCATTTTATTTACTATTAAAAGCCACCAGTGAACATGCATTTGGGCTGCTGCATTTTTATATGGTGTTGATAATGATAAAATACTGTTAAATATGAAAAAGCTTCTTTTTGGTACCATTTTGTCATACAATGTCCTGCAATTACACTGTTAGAAATAAAGGTACATTTTTCGTTCATCAAGGTACAAACAGTGTAAATGTTCCCTCAAAGGTCCAACAGTGGTTTTAAGGTCTGATGGTGAACCTTAAATACGTTTTTCCAGGTGAAAAGTTCGTATTTGTACCTTTTCATAACCGAATGTTTTAAACAGAACAGTAAAATAAAAGCCTGGAGACGAGACGGGGTGTGTGGAGTCAGTACAGCTTAGAACATATCATTTCAGTGGATTATGGTTCAGTTATGTTCCCTGACTAAAGGTACTGAGATGGAGCCTTGAGGGTTCCGCCCCATATGACAGGAGGGGAACTGACCCAGTGATAGTTTGGGACCTTTATTTCTGAGAGTGCACTCCTCAGTGTACTCCTTCAGACGTCTGGTTCCTATCTTCACCACTGTGAGCAATTCTTTCTCAGCAAGTTTCTAGAATTGAGTATTTCACACCAAATGACTTTGTTTCCATCTTAATGATTGAATTGTACAGACATTTAAAAATCAGTTTAATTCCCCTTTAATGTCTATTTTATTCAAACCAGTTAAAATGAAACATGGATGTAAGCTTTGAGGTTGCACAGTCCCTGCAGTCTGCTTTATTATCAGTTATATTATCCTCTGGATCTTCATTAGTATTTAGGTTCTAACTAGAGGTTCTGACTGTTTATCAGTGGTGTGATGTGTCAGTAATATGTGCATA